GACTCAGGGAGCCCCGCTGAGGTCAGTGTGAACACAGATGTCACGCTGGGCCCCCCTGGAGGCCCCTCCCAGGGGCCTGGTTCTGCAGGTGGGGAATTGTCCTTCTGCTCCCGGTCCTTGGCATGCTGAAGTGTTCACACATTCCCAATGCAGACCGAGGTCTGAGGCCTTCCAGGTTGCCACATTCCTGCTGCCAATTTTCTAGCTCTTTTAGACTCCGAGGATCTCCCAACAGGCTGGGCTCCCACCCCGGCGTCTGACCAATTACTTCATTCTGCTTCAAGTGGCCGATTGTGCAGAGGGACAAAGCCACAGCCGCCCTGTCAATGGTTACCAAGCTGGTTTTTTGGGAAACTCATGCCAAGGACTGACTGTGACTGTCCCATTGTGGGCGTTTGGCACAGCGTGGCCCGAGGGGCTGTGGAACGAGGCCCAGAATCACTCAGACACGTTTTCTTCAGTCCCCTTTCTGTCCTTCAAGTCGAGTGCCCAAGTAAATGATCGGCACAGCTGCTCCCAAATGTGAGAGACCGTAAGCGGATGAGTCAGTCCGAGGCAGACTCCCCTGCTGCGTCATTCGGTGAAAACGCGAGCGGTGTCACCTGAGGAAGCGTCCCCAGGCCTGGCCAAGGACCAGAGCGGAGATGAAACAGGACCCCGGAGCCCGCGTGCCTGAATGAATTATGAATGTGCCTTAACGGGTGAGTGGCCTTTTGAAGACACAAAATGATGGCACCTTTACTGTTTACCGCCGATGGGACACATGCTAAATAGAAAGAGATTTTCCTGTTTTTGAGTCTTTGAACTGTTTTCATATTATCGCTTCCTCTCCTGCAGCTGGGTTGTGCCCCGTGAGGTGTAGTTTTCAATTTGATCAGAACTGTTCCCAAACAATTGTCAGTTTCATGAAGACAGGAAAAATGTCAACCTATTTTTGTGACTTAAGACATGATGACAGAGATTAGACACTGGAGGGGTTTTGTGCTTTTTTAAAAAACAAATGTATATTTATTAATGTTCAGAACACTGGAATTGCAACACAAATGAGAAAAGAGTCTACAATAAATTAAGATTTTTGGATTTGTATTTCTGCGGAGCTGGTTTCCCGCCCCCCCCGCCGGCCCCCCCCTCTCCTAAGGCAGCTGTGGAGGGAACCAGACGAATGGGATTCAGACGACAGCTCAAGGACCGGGACTGGGCCGGAATTTTCTGTTTGTTCTCCTTCAGGAGTTTCCTGAGATCTTTATTTATTTATAATCTTTATTGATTTTAAAGAGGGAGGAAGGGAGGAGAGAAACATCGATGAGCGAGAACATCAGCTCGCCGCCTCCCGCATGCGCTCCACTGGGGATTTGGCCCACAACCTGGGCATGTGCCCTGACCGGGACTCAACCTCTCGGTGCAGGTGGTTGACACTCAAGCACTGAGCCGCACCGGCTGGGCTGAGATCTTTAAATTTCTATCTTTCACCCAATTTGGGAAATTTTAGCCAGCATTGTTTTCTCTGCACCGATCATTTCTCCTGTCCCGAGACCCGGTGACACCAGTTAGATCCTGGGTACTGTCCCCGGCTCTGAGGCTCTGTTCATCTCTCTCATTCGTTTTTCTGTTTTTCAGATTTGATTGGTTCTAGGAATCGACCTACAAGTTCACTAACTTTTTTTTATCCTTACTCAAGGACTTTTCTTTTTGCATTAATCTTCAGATGTAGCGGGAGGGAGAGAGAAACATCGACGTGAAAGACACATCAAGCGGCTGCCACCCACACGACCCCAACCAGGGCCGGGGACAAACTGCAACCGAGGTACATGTCCTCAGTGGGAACCGAACCTGGACTCTCTGGTCCACAGGCTGACGCTCTAACCGCTGAGCCACACTGGCCAGGGCCAAGTTCACTAGCTCTTGTCATCTCTATTCGATTGAGCCCATCCAGAGAGTTTATTTCAAATGTTGTCATTTTAAGCCCTGCAGTTTCCACTCGGGCCCTCTGAGGGCTGTCACGTCTCCACTGCGCGCCTGGCCCCCCGCATTTCTGGTGTCTCCCTCTACTTGGGGGAGCACAGCTGCTTGAACGGCTGCGACCATCGAACACCTGGGTCTTCCTGGCTGAACTATGTTGTCCTTTCTCTTGGCATCTTCCCGGCTTTCCGTACGCTGATTGGTTTCAAAGCAAACCCTTGACATCTTGCCTTTGTTTTTTGACTGACATTCTGGATGTGTCACGAGACGGGGTCCTGTGGAAACCCGCGGGCAGGTGTCACTGTTTTGCTTCTTGCAGCAGGAAGCGGCCAGTGAGGCTCAGACGAGCTGCCAGCTCCTCCCAGCAGTGGTTCCGCGTCTGGTGTCAGGGCCTTGCTGCGCTGCCTTGGGTCTGCCCTGCCTGCCTGCCACTCGGCGGGGACGTGGGTGGTGGTTTATGTCATCATTCAGCTCTCACAGCCTTTGACAGGCTGTCTGGGTCTGCTCCATACGCCCCCAACCCGGGGTGAGCCAGGACCTGCGTCGCATATATGAAGAGGGGTCTTCTTCTCCAGCTGTCCCCTGGATCTGCCCACCCGCTCTCGCTCCTAGGGCCCCTGTCCAGAAAGATGGGTCTCTCCGGAGTTCTAGCCATCCGCTGTCACATTCCCACCCAACCAGCCCCACCTTGGGGCAAATTAGAGAAGAAAAATCCAACAGAACCTGCTTTCCCCAGGCCTCCCTTGGAGGCCCAGCCCCGACTAGCCTAGCGTTCTGGGTCGGGCGCACAGTAGGGAACAGGGACAGGTCTGCCTCAACCCCAACGCTCTGCTCCCTGGGGGCGGGGGAGCAGGCCCGGTGCACCAGCTGGGCTGGGTGTCCTCCCAGGGACTCTGCACACACCAGCCTTAGACAGGGCCGCGCCGGGCCGGAAGGGATCAAGACAAAAGCCCCTCTAACGCTGCCTGAACAATGAGCGCGCCCAGGCCACGGAAGGACCAGACCTCCCGGTCCTCCGCCCATGGCTGGGGCCTGCCCCCGGCTGCCCTTCCCGCAGATGAGGTTTACTAAGACACCTGGGAGGTCCTGGCTGGTTTGCTCAGTGCTCAGTATCGACTCATGGACTAAAGGGTTTCAGGGTCAACTTCATCAAGGGCACATACCTGGTTGTAGGGCTGATCCCCAGCCAATCCATGTGTCTCTCATATTGATATTTCTCCCCCTTCCCCCACTCTACCTAAAAAATCAATGGAAAAATATGCTCAGGCGAGGATTAACTAAGAAAATAAAGACATCTGGGAGGACTCCCCGGACTTGGCCATGGGCAGCAGCCAGGCTGAGGGCCTGCACTGACTGGGGCCCAGGGTGGGGGCCTGCAGGTGAGAAGCACTGCCCGACTCTAGGGGCGGTCTCACGAGAACACTCCAGGAATGATGGGGGTGGGGGGGCAACACTTTCCCTGATATCCGGTCTCCCGTTTTCCTTCCCTTTCCCAAGGGGTGTGGGGACTGCCGGCCTGGAGGCAGGAGCGCCATGTGGGAAAGGGCTGGGGAGCCCTGGTGCCTCCGTCCCATCACCTCTGGCCTTCAGGTCACCTTGGGGTAGGGCCCTGGAGTCTGAGGGCCCCTGGTGCTTGGGCAGGACCAGGGAAGAGGCCAGAGACCCGGCCATCCTCTTGGCCCTACAGCGCCCCCTAGTGGACAGAGCTGCTAACTCTGAGTAGCACCCAGAAGCCCCGGGCCCGAGGCCCATCTGGCCTGCGGCTTGCCCAGAGGCTGCCACAGGCACCAGCTGCGGTGAGCTGGGGGCAGGGGCAGGTCTGCACCCCTCCTTCCTCGGCCAAAGGCTTGCGTGGGGCTGGCAGGGTGGCAGAGCTGAGTGGAAGCTGGAAGGCTGGCTTCCCCTCAGCTGCCCTCCCTGCCCCCCCCCGTTCTGCCACTCTGGTCAGCCTTGCCGCAGGTGGGCACTGTGGAGGCTCCCCAGACGGGCCACAGCTCCGACCTCCGTTCCCAGGGCAGAGTCAGGAAACCTGAGCTCAGGGCGGCTCTGTGCTGCCCTCCGGGCCGGGGAACAAAGGCAGCATTTCAGCCCTGGCCTCCATGCCAGGCTGACGGGCCCCAGGGACCCGGGGCCACGGCTGGTCTGCCCAATCCCCAGCGCCCAGCACATTGTGGGATGTGGACACCAAGCTGTGGTCTGCCCCTGGCCAGCGCCGAGCAGGGCCTCCCTGGTCCAGCCCGGCTGGAGCGAGCAGGCCATCACGGCGGGGACAGCCGAGTCCCGTCCTCTGCGGGCCACCTGGCCGAGCCTCCCTCAGGGCCGGTTTCTTCACGGGGAACACAGGATGGTCTCAGAAGCCACTCAGCAGGCTGCCCTGGCTACTCCCCACCCTCGGGGAGACTCTGCTGGGGCGGGGGGGGGGGGGGCTCAGGTAAAAAGGCCTGGACTGGGGAACAGGAGGGCTGGGTGCCCCAAGGGGGACGTCAGTGCTGTAGGTAGCACCACTCCCCTAGTCCAATGGTGCAGAGGGAGCCGCTTCCCTGGGCACTGCCCCTGCCCCTCGGTCAGCCGCTTTCTAACTGCTCCGCCTGGTCACCGCTCCAGCCCAGGTGGGGGCTCTGGGGTGGGACAGCCGGGGATAGAGGCTGTCTCAGCCCCTACTGAGGCACGAGTCCTCCTCCTGGCAGGGTCTGCCCACCTCATGGGGCAGGGCAGAGGCCCCGTGCCCGGCCCCTCACTGACATGGCACCACTGGGGTGGCTCCCACCCAGCCTCCGGGGGATGGGCTGGCAAACAGCCGTCGGCCCCACTCAGTGGCCTGGTCTTAAAGCTTGCCCAACCATGGCCTGTCACCCCAACACAGGGGTGCACTAAGCCAGCTGTGGGGTTGTGAGCCCATCCCCCATGACCGCTGCCCCAGGCTTAAGGGTGGTCTTCCCAGCAGACCCAGCAAGTTCCGTGCGTGGTCCTGCCGCCCTGCCCTGCCCTCCCGCTGTGCCCAGGAGGCTGCCGTCAGAGCCCACGTGCACACAGGTGTTTATTCAGCACCGGCCCTGCAGCCCTTCACGCGCTCCGGGACGGGAGGCCTGTCCTGGGCACGCGAGGAGCTGCCGCAGGTCCTCGGCCTCCTGGGCAGCAGGTCCAGGCTCCCCAGGCTCCAGCAGCAGCCACGCTCCGTCACCCGCTCCAGGCTCTGCTCGGCGTCCGCGTCGGCTCAGAGCGTGGGGCCGTCGCCGGGGCCCTCGGTGGCCTCTCGGGGCTTGGTCTTGCCCTTCTGGAGCGTGTAGGCGGACGGCCCCAAGCGCAGGATCTTCCCGCTGCCCAGGCACTCGCCCTCCTTGTAGAAGACGGCGAACTGGAGAGGAGGGGCCTGTGTCACCACGGGGGCCGCAGCAGGGTGCCCAGAGCAGCCGGGAGCCCGGGCCTGGGGCAGCTGGTCTGAGCTGGGGAGCGGGGCGGGCGGACGGTGCTCTGCCGCTCCTGACCTGTCCTCCCCTCAGGGCCAGACCACAGGCTGCCAGGCAGGGCAGCTGGGCCCGCCCAGTGGTCGAGCAGGCCGGCCGCAGCTCCCCCGCACTGGCGGGGTGCCCTGAGCACCACGCTCCCTGCCCACGGCCTGGGCCCGGGGGGGAAGGATGGTGGAGCCCTTCCAGCAAGCAGCTCTCTGGCCACTAGCCCGCGCATGGACGGGCATCTGGGGGCAGCTGAGCTCGTGTAGGGTCAGGCTGGCCAGGCCCCAAGAGGAAGCCCACCTCCCTCTGCAGTGCAGTGCGGGCCACGCGGACCCACTCACCTGTCCTGGGGTGAGGGCCCGCACAGCCTTCACAGCCGTCACCCACACAGTGCCGTCTTGATTGAGGGTCAGCACACAGGGCACTGGGTGGAAGAGAGGGGCCCTTGGAGGGGCTCTGGCCTGGCTTATGTAGGACGAACACACCACCTGGACCCTCAGCCCAGTGCTGACTTCCCAGGACCCGCCCTGCATCCCGGAAGGAGAAAGCTGGGCTGGCCCTCTGTGCCCCCACGGGTCATGGGCAGAGGGAAGGGGGTTTGAATATGTGATATAACCCGAACAATGGGGACTCGGACGCCCTAGGTCAACCCCACGACCATCCTAAATCTGGCTTCTCTGGGCAGATCCCTCCCGCTCAGTCACCTAGCGCCATCTGGTGGCGGAAGCGGAAGTGGCACTCCATCATCTTGTCCCGGACCAGGGCTGCAGGCGGCTCCTCCGTGATCCAGTGCACACGGTTGGTCCGAAGCAGGTCCCTGTACAGGGCTGGGTGGTCCACCCGGGGGGCCTGCAGAGTGTAGGCAAAGATCGTGATGCCCTGAAGCCCTTAGCAGAGCGGTCCCTCGACCAAAGCCACTCACTGTCCCTCATTAACAACAATCCCAACAGCAAACAGAAATGCATGTGATTCTTTCAGGAACCTCTGATCCCATTTTGCAGAAGAGAAAACTAAGGCACAAGTCGTGGTCACACTTCAAAAGCAGAGGTGCTTGCGATCTGAACCCATGACCTTAGCACTCCTCCAAGTTCAAGTCTCACTCTGGCCCCGCAGCCGCCTGGGGCCAGCGTCAGGGACACGGACGTGCCTCGCCAGCCGCTCATCTCGCACAGGGCTCTGCAGCGGTCCCACCAAAGCCGGTGCTGGACAAAGACGGGCCGGGCGCTGCTGGCTGCCTGGGGCTGGCTGGGGGTCTGCCCTGTCCCCGACCCTCGCGCGCCCCCAGGCTCCTAGGATCTAGCGAGCTTCCCTCTGAGGCAGGACCAGGAGCACGGAATTCTGGGGCTCGGGCTCTAAGTGGGCAGGAGACCCACACAGGACAGTGTCAGTTGGAGACCCCTTCTATTTTTCTCCAAATCGAAGTTTTTCCTCGAAAGCAAAGATCACTGAACTTCACACTAAAATCACTCTAACCCATGCTTGACCAGAGTCACTGCAGGCTTTGGCCACAGCTCCTCGTGGAAGGAGACGCCCCAGAACTGGCAGGTACGCGCTGTGTCTCTCTGCCTGTGTCTAAGAGGAGGCCTCCCAGCTCTGTGACGGAGCACGAGATGACAGCCTTCCCCAGGCTGGGGCCCAGGCACAGAGTCCAGGGTTCCTGATCCTCCACACCACTGAGACCTGGGGCGGGACCAACGATTGTGGGCGGGGCACCCTGGCCCCCACCCTCTAGGTACCAGTGCACCTGTCCCACCCCCTGTGTGATGACGGTCAAAGATGTCCCAAGCCCTGGCCAGTGTGGCTCAGTGACTGAGTGCTGTCCCATGCACCCAAGGTCGACAGTTAGATTCCCAGTCAGGGCACATGCCTAGGTTTTGGGCTTGATCCCCAGTAAGGGGTGTGTAGGAGGCAGCCGGTTGATGTTTCTCTCTCACATCAATGTTTCTCTTTCTCCCTCTTCCTTCCTCTAAAATCAATAAAAACGTATTTAAAAAAACTGTCCCCAGACACTGCCAAATGTCCTGGGGTGAGAGTCGAAGGCTCTAGGGCCTGGGGAAGGAGTCCCGCCTGGCTGGGCCCTGGCCCCACCGCCATCGTTCTGACTGGGCGGAGTCCAGGTGCACGCCTGGCCCTGGTCCTGGGGCCACCACCACTCCTGGACCCGCACACGCTACCTCCTCGCGAGCGTCCTCTCATGTCCACCCAGAGGACAGCCTCTATCCACAGGACTGACGTGATGACCGGTGCCCAGCACACGGGGAGAGCCCAGCGAGCACCTTCCACGGCATCTGGCACCTTGGCAGGTCCCAGGAGGGCACAGGCCTGGGCTCTGCCCGCACTGAGCTCGCGGCCCTGCTCGGTCTCACACACACTGGCGCTGCCAGAGCGGACAGCGCCTGTCTAGGGGCCCGCCACTCACCACAAACACGTTGCCCGTGGTGCCGTCCTTCTCCACCACGTACCAGGGCTCCCGCAAGCCACCGATGTTGGCTCTCTGGCCCAGAGTGTACAGAAACCAGCCTACGAAACAGTTCTCAGTGAGGTGGGCGCGGACCCCGTCTCAGCCCCCACAGCTATGATGGGGCAGTGCGGGGGCGGGCGGGGGCTCTGCGGACCACTGCGGGGCCACCCAGAGGCTGCGGTTCTCCGGCCACCAGCATCAGCCCTAAGTCCATCCCCGCTCATCGGGCCTGGGTACCCCACACTGCCAGGGACCACTGCAGGACCACCTGGCCCATTAGGAGCAGGGACAAGTCCCCTGGGCGGGCCGAGTGCCCTGTGGAAGCCGCGAGCCCTGCCTGCTGAGTCGCCGATGCGGCTGTGGGTTACACAGCATGCCCCCACCCGCACTGACCACGTCAGGGCCAGGACATCCGAGCTGCCCCGGGTTTCTGTGCCCAACCCCTCCTACCGACCTCTGTGCACCCCCCACAACAGACATCAGAAGACCAGATGGCTAGGCCCCCTCCCCCTCCCCTTCCCAAGAATCGACACTCGAAGGCACCGATCACTGCGAGAACCATAGACACCCACGTCAGTGCAGCCAGACCAACCACTGCCTCTGGAGCCAGGATGGGCCGGCAACCCCTGCAGCTCTGTCCCCCGCAAGGCAGTCACCCCCCCCGTCTCAGACGCTCGGCTGTCTGGGAGCTGTGCCATCCGAGTGCCGCTCCCCAGGCAAAGCCCTCTGCCCAAACCGAGGCGGGCTCTCCAAGGAACAATCCATCTGACTGCCCACGTCTGGGCAGCAGCCCTGGTCCTTCCAGCCATCAAATGCGTGTCGGGGGGACTCACTTGGTCATCAAGCCCCACGGGCACGGCCTCACCCTCACGGAGCCCAGCTGTCTTCCCCGGGCTGTGACCCTGCACTGACCCGGCTCTGCCCGTCCTCCCCACCCCACGTCTGCAGCAAGCACACTGCCGCCTGCAGGACACCAGCTGCCAGCAATTCAGGCGCCCGGAGCACAGGCTCCCAGTGGCTCTGCTGCTGTCTGCTCCCCTGCGTGGTGACGGCAGCTCCGGGGGCAGGGACTCAGCCCTACGCACAGAGGTCTCTGAGTCAGGCAGCTGCAGTGCTGAAAAGGAGACACCGGGAAACGCATCCCTGCCACCCTCCTTGGGGCTGGCCCTGACTGTGGGCCCAAGTGGATGGCACGGCAGGCACCTGGCCCGGACGTCCGGGAGCTGCCACGCCCCTGACTCGGGGTTACTGTGAAAGCAGCGGAGGTTGTGTCTCACCTTTGTGTGTCCCCAGAACACTGCCGTCTTCTATGGAAATGAATTTCCCAGGCCGCGGCTGTAAATACTGGAGACAAACGCTTCGTTACTGCTGGATCCGGGCCCAGGGCAGAGACATGGCTCCTTCTACCCACAGCAAAGAACACTCACCTGAAGGATGAAATTTTCAAAACTTCTTTTACCAACGAAACAGATGCCCATGCTCTGAAATGAAGGACAGCCGGCCGTGAGGTGAGGGACAGGCAGGAGGGCTCAGCCTCCACCGGGCCCGGGCCTCCCTCCTGCCCGGACCTCACACTTGCGGGCCCGGGCTGGCTCTCCCCTTCGGGCACCCAGACACCAGCCCCGGCCCCAGCCCACAGACTGGAGGGGCTCCCTCGGCTCCTCCCGTCACGCGCAGACCCGGAACAGAGGCTAGCAGAGCTGGTGGTGGGGATGGGCGCAGGGAACGCTGACTCGCTGACAACAGGCACAGCGTGCATCCCCAGGAAGCAAACCTGGGGTGGCTGGCGTCTATCACTAAGGCCACCTCAACCCTGAAACGGCCAGGGCTGACTGCCCGCGGGGCCGCCGAGCTGGCTCGCATCATCTCCCCCCGAGCCCCACCACACTGGCTTCACCTCAATCCCACCAGCGCACCAGGCTCTCTTGCCTCAGGCCTTTGTACGTGCTCCTCACACTTTCTGGACTGTGTTTTCCCAACTGTCAACATGACACTGAAGCCGATTCGTCCTCAGGCCCTGGGGTCAATGCCATGTCCTCAGAGGCTTCTCCTGCGTCTCTGCCCCTCCATGTACTTCCGAGCCCCCGATCCTCACAGCCCTTTCCTAAGCTTACAGGGCGTCCCCGCTTGGACCCGAGCTGCGTGGAGGCAGCAGTAGTTTGCGTGCTCCTCACTGGCTGAGGCCAGCAGCACGCACAGGCCAGTGACGGACACAGCAGGTCTGTGTGCAGGCGCAATGCCCCCTTGGGCCTTGGTGCCCTGTCCTCACCACCCTGCTCCCTCCTGGCAGCTGGGAAAACCACCCACCCAGAGGGAGTGAGCAGGGGCAGCAAGGAGAAGTCGCGTCTAAGGTGCTTTCTGAATGTGCACAGTGCCCCCTGCTGGGGGTGGCGGCCACGGCCCTGCTTCTCTGCCGCATGGCCGAGGACCAGAGCACACACCACAGTCCTACCTCCTTTTTCTGAAGCACGTGATGAAGTCTATTCTCAGCAGCTATTTTCTTTACAAAATCTTTCGTTAATCCCCCCAGAGGGAAGAGGGTTCTCCTCAGGGCCTCCTGGGAAACCTGGCTGAGAAAGAAGGTCTGGTCTTTAAAGCTGTCGGCTGCCTGGAGAAGCTTCACCGCTGCCAAGAGTAAAGGACAAAGATGGCGCAGGAATGAAGACAATCACTTGCTCTCGGCAACGCCCCAAGTGCGCTCAGACAGCACCCCAGCCTGGGGGAACCCAGCTCGACACTCAACAGCGGACGACTGGGAAAAAGCACCACTGTGGTTACTGCAGGAACTCTCACTCCTGATTTATCTGTTAAAAAATACACGCGACGACGACAAAAACATACACGTGTGCAGGGAGGCAGATTTTAGATGCTAAGGAAATTTACTCCAGTTCATACTTTACGTGGTCATATTTCCTTTCTCTCTCTCTCTTTTTTTTAAAATCCTCACCCAAAGAGGTTTTTCCATTTATCTTCAGATGGGGGATGGGGGGAAGAGACACACATTGAAGTTGCCTCCTGCATGACCCTGACCAGGGCCGGGGGCAAACCGAAAATGAGGTACATGCCCTTGATCGGAATTCAACCCATGACTCTATGGTCTGAGGACAATGCTCTAACCGCTGAGCAAACCAGCCAGGCTAGATGGTAATGTTTTCCAAGATGAAACACCCCGTGGAAAAATCAAGTGTATAATAAATACAGCCCACGCAGGAAACTGGAGGAGACAGTGCAGGGCCTGGGCCGCGTGGGGCTCCCTGACCTGCAGGCACAGAGGCCTGGGCCGCGTGGGGCTCCCTGACCTGCAGGCACAGAGGCCTGGGCCGCGTGGGGCTCCCTGACCTGCAGGCACAGAGGCCTGGGCCGCGTGGGGCTCCCTGACCTGCAGGCGCATGGAGGCCTGGGCCGCATGGGGCTCCCTGACCTGCAGGCGTGCGGAGCCCTGGGCAGTGTGGGGCTCCCTGACCTGCAGGCACACAGAGGCCTGGGCCGCGTGGGGCTTCCTGACCTGCAGGCACAGAGGCCTGGGCAGTGTGGGGCTCCCTGACCTGCAGGCACACAGAGGCCTGGGCCGCGTGGGGCTTCCTGACCTGCAGGCACAGAGGCCTGGGCCGCGTGGGGCTTCCTGACCTGCAGGCACAGAGGCCTGGGCCGCGTGGGGCTCCCTGACCTGCAGGCGTGCGGAGGCCTGGGCCGCGTGGGGCTCCCTGACCTGCAGGCACACGGAGGCTGGGCCGCGTGGGGCTCCCCTGACCTGCAGGCGTGCGAGCCCTGGGCAGTGTGGGGCTCCCTGACCTGCAGGCACACAGAGGCCGGGGCCACGTGGGGCTTCCTGACCTGCAGGCACAGAGGCCTGGGCCGCGTGGGGCTCCCTGACCTGCAGGCGTGCGGAGCCCTGGGCAGTGTGGGGCTCCCTGACCTGCAGGCACACAGAGGCCTGGGCCGCGTGGGGCTTCCTGACCTGCAGGCACAGAGGCCTGGGCAGTGTGGGGCTCCCTGACCTGCAGGCACACAGAGGCCTGGGCCGCGTGGGGCTTCCTGACCTGCAGGCACAGAGGCCTGGGCCGCGTGGGGCTCCCTGACCTGCAGGCGTGCGGAGGCCTGGGCCGCGTGGGGCTCCCTGACCTGCAGGCACACGGAGGCCTGGGCCGCGTGGGGCTCCCTGACCTGCAGGCACACGGAGGCCTGGGCCGCGTGGGGCTCCCTGACCTGCAGGCGTGCGGAGCCCTGGGCAGTGTGGGGCTCCCTGACCTGCAGGCACACAGAGGCCTGGGCCGCGTGGGGCTTCCTGACCTGCAGGCACAGAGGCCTGGGCCGCGTGGGGCTTCCTGACCTGCAGGCACAGAGGCCTGGGCCGCGTGGGGCTCCCTGACCTGCAGGCGTGCGGAGGCCTGGGCCGCGTGGGGCTCCCTGACCTGCAGGCACAGAGGCCTGGGCCGCGTGGGGCTCCCTGACCTGCAGGCGTGCGGAGGCCTGGGCCGCGTGGGGCTCCCTGACCTGCAGGCACAGAGGCCTGGGCCGCGTGGGGCTCCCTGACCTGCAGGCGCATGGAGGCCTGGGCCGCGTGGGGCTCCCTGACCTGCAGGCGCACGGAGGCCTGGGCCGCGTGGGGCTCTCTGACCTGCAGGCGTGCGGAGGCCTGGGCCGCGTGGGGCTCCCTGACCTGCAGGCACACAGAGGCCTGGGCCGCGTCACAGTCTCTTCCAGGTGCAGCTACTCTCTTTTAAACGCATTTCCTCTTGGTCGACGTAGTCTGTGTTTAGAGTCCAGGCTCACACTCGTCAGGTCTTCGCAGCTTCTCTCCTCTTTTCGTGAGGAAGGACCACTTCCAGCTACGACAACGGTGCAGAGGTGAGGCTGGTCCTGGCCACATGACGTGGTTCAGAGAAGGGGCCCAGCTCCCCGTCTGGGCCAGAGCGGTCCTGCCTGGCATGCAACAGAACTTCTGTGGTTGCAACTGACATAGTATCAGCACCGTGGCTTCTTCTGAAACCTCTCACACCTATGCTGAGAGAAGCCTCAACACCTACACTTGGAGCACGCTGGCGGGGTGACACGCTCCCTGTATAGTTAACGTTTTCTATCCGTAAAACCAAATCTAGTTCTCCCGTTAGCTGTGTGGGTAGAATTATCCCCACTTTACAGGCGAGGAGACTGAGGCTCAGGTTAGCAAAGTGCCCGGCCCAGTGGTGCAGGCAGAGCTGAAATGGAGCCGTCACCCAGTTTCTACTCCATCACTTTCACCTACGAAACATCCAGACCAGCCCTGGCCAGTTTGGCTCAGCGGTTGGAGCGTCGGCCTGCGGTCCGGAGAGACCCGGGTTCGGTTCCCGCTAAGGGCACGTCCCTCGGTTGCAGTTTGTCCCCGGCCCTGGTTGGGTTGTGGGGGTGGCAGCCACCCAATGTGTCCCTTTCACGTCGATGTTTCTCTCTCTTTCTCTCTCCCTCTCCTCCACTCTATCTGAAAAATGGAAAAAGGTCCTCACCTGAGGACAAAAACAAACACAAAAACCACCATCCAGACCAGCTGAACCATGAAGACAGTCAGTCATCAGGCAGAACCGTCCGCTGATGCTCTGTCCCAAAGCGCAGTGTGATCAGCCGCTGCGAGAACAAAAGCCTCAGAGCACTGGGAACAATTTGCGTTTTCTCATAATTGTCATTTTAGAACCAACTCAAAATGTATCACTTGTTTTTTTTTTTATCCTCATCCGAGGACATTTTTGCATTTTTCATCAGATAGAGCAGGAGAGAGAGAGGGAGGGAGAGAGAAACATCGATGTAAGAGAGACACAGTGAGTGGCCGCCACCCACATGACCCCAACTGGGGCCGGGGACAAACTGCAACTGATGTACATGCCCCTTGCGGGAACCGAATCTTGGACTCTGGTCCGCGGGCCGACGCTCCCACCGCTGAGCCAGACCAGCCAGGCCCATCTAAGAGAGCGAGCTGGCGTCCTGAGCCACGGGAGGGAAGACCGGCCAGGCCCATCTAAGAGAGCGAGCTGGCACCCTGAACCATGGGAGGGAGTAGCACTGGTCAGGGGAGTAGCACTGGTGGAGGGGTAGCACTGGTGGGGGGGAGTAGCACTGGTGAGGGAAGTAGCACTGGTGAGGGCCTGCTTGTACCCAGAGCTCCTTCGCTCCTTCGGGCCCTGTGGTGCCACCTGCCGCCTGCACAGGTGAGATCTACCAGGTCACAAGGCCCAGGCCCAGGAGGCCCACTCTCTGCCGCCCCCTGTGCCCTCTCCCCCGTGGCCCAGGCCTGGAGGCCCTATTCCAGGTGTCCAGGGCAACTGAGCCAGAATAAAATAAGCCGCTTCACTGTACCCGAAAACACAGGAAAACAAAGACACTGGTGTTACAAAACAGCTGCCTGCAGCTCGCTCAGCAAATGTGTGGCACGGGCAGGCAGGCCTCAGCGCCCACGGCCTATCGAGGGCCCAGAGCTTTGGGAGGCCAAGCATTTCCCAGAGGTGGGCAGGCTCATCTGCTCGACAGGGAACTAGGTCCTGCATCCATTCGGGTCCTGGAAACCCACGCTGACTACGAGGTGAGCTCTGCTGCGAGGTCCCAAGTGGCGGCTTTGCATTCAGAGCCGAGGGTCCCTGACACGGAGGTGTGCTGGTGGGTGCGGCCTAGGAGTGTGAAAGGCAGCACCCGGAGAGGCACCAGGGACCTGTCATCTCCCCAAGGCGGGGTGCAGAGGCCCCCAGGCCAGCACAGAGCTGAGACCGCGGGAGCTGCAGGCAGCAAGGTGCGCCCCGGGCCGAGAGAAAGGAGCGGGAGGAGGGGAAAGAAAACGGCCGCTGAGCAACTGTCACACTCAGGATCCCGCGACAAAGCCAGCGCTCGACCGCACGAGGGCTGCAGCCTGCCGTCAGAGGACAGAGAGGACAGAGAGGACAGCTCGGCGGGGCCGGGCACAGCAGACACGGAGCCTAGGTCCAGCTCTCCCACTGGAGCAGCCACATGAGACGACCTCATCCAAGCCCCAGCTCCTCACCTGTGGGGGCCGCGGCCCTCCCCACGCGCTGAGGAGGGAGATGAAGCGTGAGCGTGCTGGCCAGAGAAGCGCTCGCCTCCACGCCCCGCAGCGGCGGGCACGCGTGAAGACCCGTGGCCCTGAGCCACCATCTGTCCCTGACTCGACATTTCCCAGGAGACTCTGACCAGCTAACTGGTGAACACAGTTCCTAGTGGCCGCCGGGCCTGTGCTGTGACAGCTCAAGCCTGCGGCAGCCGGATGGACAGTAGCAGGGCCTGCGGCACCCCGACTGTGTTGCCGAACATCTCAAGCACCGGGGAAGCCCTGCCGGCCCCTCAGTGGTTAGAGCGTCGGCCCAGTCAAGGGCCCAGACCTGGGTCTCAGGCTCAATCCCTGGCTGGGTGGGGTTGTTCAGGAAGCAACTAGTCAATGTGTCTCTCACATCGTTGTTTCTCTCTCTCTCCTTCCTCCCTTCCATTTTCTCTAAAAATTAATGGGAAAATATCCTTGGGTGAGGATTAACAACAAACAAACAAACAAACAAACACCGGGGGCACCAGCAAACACCCACACACGACGTCTAGAACATGTTATAAATGACTCAGTGTCTCACCAGCCCGTGCCTGGCCCTCCACTGGGGCTTCTGATGCCCACTGACCAACCACAGGCCCGTAGGGGAAACGACCCTCCTGAAAACTGTGCTTTTTCAAAGAGGAAACCAAACACACACGCTAGTTCAGAACGCAGAGGGCTGGCAGGTAAGCGCAGACAATGACCCGCTGTGGTTATTCACAACATCCTGCTTGCTCACGAGTGACGACGCTGGACCTGCACTTTTACTTACCGTTTCTAACCTCAAACCGATTTCTGAAAAGCCCTTCTGGCCTCTTAATGTGCTTCTGCTGGAAGACTTCTTCGTCTTCCAGTGACGTTCTTGCATAATGACCCGTGGCGACGGCATCTGCCCCTGTGAGGTGTTTAAAACACAAGGGTCAGATTTCCACTTGGGTTTGCTGGCCTTGGCCAGCCCCGGCCACAGCTGCGTCCAGAAGCAGAGCCAGGCCTTCCCCTGGAGGGTTCGCCCGCTCAAACACCAGAGGGACTGTCATCACATAAGCGGCCTTCTGCAATGACACAACATTGCTACAAGGTTTCATTGCATGTTTAACAGCCTTTCAAAAGTTACTATCTACCCACTCACTCCCTCTGGTTTAAGGGAATGGTCAGAGGTGACACAAAGATTCAAGCTCACAAAGCTCATTCCGGTGTTTCTTATACTAAGGGAAAATCGGCAACTACCAAAATGTCTAACACCAGGAGAACATGAAACAAATTAAATGGTATTGCCATAATAACAGCATCACTTACAAAGAAATGTTAATGACATGGAAAATGCTACTAACTCAGAGGAAAAAGCATGTAATACTGTGGTCCTGTTTTTCAAACATACAGAAAAAGGAGGAGAAATACCCTGAAGTCTACTCCTGTGATTCTGGGACATGAAACTACACATGATCTTCCTTCCTTTTTTTTGCTGTTCTGTGGCTTTAAATTTTCTTCAGTAAATATGTACAGGGGTGGGCAAAAGTAGGTTAATAAGTATTATGATAAATAATATAAGTAATAATGCACGAATAAACTTTCATGTTCTCACAACTGTAAACCTACTTTTGCCCCCGTGTGATTTTTATCACAGTGAAGGATGTTCAATCTCTTCCAAACGCTGCAGAAAGCAAAGCAACCTGCCCAGCCACGTACACGCTCCTCAGTGTGAGGGTGTCGGACGCCCAGTTGCAAGAGCCATTCTTCCTGGACGGTGTGGGGACCAGCTCGGCACTGCCAGCCTCCAGCACGCAGTGAGACAGGGCACAGCAGGAACGGCGGCAGGCTGGCCACCCGCAAGGGACACGGGGACACACTCGTGCACCCTGGCTGACTTTCCAACAGAAGACAAGCCTTTTGCAGAAGCACCATGTGTGCTGTGGACGGTGCGGCCCCTCCGCCAGAGTCCGAGATGCAGGCGTCCAGACTCCGTGTGTTTAGTCTGGGCTGCACTGTCCACGCAGTAAGCTCAGACATGGAAACACTCAGAAATTCCTTCCAAAGGGCTCCCGACTGATGGCCACCTAGGGCCGTGTGCCAAGGTGACAGGCCTCCGTGCTCTCCCAAGGCGAGCATTCCCCTCCTGAACGGCTGCTCGCCCGCCCGGGTGAGACCTGTGCTGCCCGTGGCAGGGCTGCCCCTGGGTCACGCCAGGGCACAAACCTAAGCCGCACGCTTGCGCATTGCTCTGACGACCCAACGCAACCCTCACTGCATCAGGTGGTCTGTTTCTAGACACACTCAGCTCAAACTCAACGCACACCCCTTGCACCTGCCACTCTTCTGAGCCCATCGGAACCAGACAGAGCCCAGCAGACATGCCTACCCGGGGCCAGCCGCAGCGGACCGCTCCCCCCGCAGACGGCTGTGACCACGGGCTGTCAGCTCGAGGCAGCTCACCGCCCAGGTCTCACCCTCGGCCTGTTCAGGACGTGAGGACCGAGCCTAGTGAGCACTCACCTGTTCAGTCCAACACCACGCTTGCTCAGACTTCCTCCTGGTTTCTGTGGGCATCTCATACCCGACCCCACGAGCCACCTGCCGCCCCCCAGTGGCAGGGCTCCTGCATCAGCCCTGCCACCTACCCTGTCCCCATCTCAGCCCCTAGCGTGCTAGCAGGACAGAGGCGTCTCAGTCCTGGACTACCACTGGGTCACTGGCACACGGTTACATGCCTGGCGCGTGGCTGGACATGGCAGGGTGGACTGCGATGGGACAGAGCCAAGTGAGAGGCCCGAACCCGGGACTCTGGGAGCTTGTTATGGCGACCCGACAGCTGGAGACAGGAAAAGACAGGAACTCACAGCAGCACAGCAGCAGTACCGAGAGGCAGCCTAAGCAAGCATGAGGAGAGGTCAACATGGAGGGCGGGGCGGTGCCAACGGGCACGGAAACGAGAAAGCAGGAAGTTAGGGACACAATCCAAGGTAAGCTCTCTGTGGCAGCAGGGCCCTGACCTTGGGCAGGCTTTTAGAACAGGCCACAGAGACGTGATCCAAACCAGAGCACAGGACAGAGACCCGGGAGCTGCAACCAGGCACAGACTCAGGCCCGCCCTCAGGAGAAAGCAGAAGCCCACCCTGCGAGCAAGGGACGAGGTCTCAGGAGGACCAGCAGGAAGGACGACAGACGAGGGACCACATGCCAAGGCTCTTGGGCCCTGAATGAGGGCCGACACGTCCACTAGCTGTGCCCCGTCTGGAACCTGCAGGCAGGGCCGGGGCTCTCCCGAGGACGGTGCCTTCCCTTAGACTTGTGCGGTGCCCGGCGAACAGGCCTCGCCTCCCAGACCTCCCGCCGTCTGTACCCCAGGAAGTTCTCTTACTCAAGGGAACACAGAACACTATCGTGTGCACTGCCTGCTTCCCTTCTGAATGATGGGACGCTCGTGAGGGTTTGGCTGCTGGCCAGCTCTGAGAACCTTATGCCTTTTGAAAAAAACAAATAAAGATGATTCGAATTCCTCACCCAGATTATCCACAGCGTAATGGAAGAAACAACGGAATTTGATGTGTTTGTTGCAGATGATGTCAGGGTTGGGAGTCCTTCCTTTCTCGTATTCATTCAGAAAATCACTGGAATACAAGAAAAACACTTTTCACTTCTGATTGTGAAAGTGTCCTAGAAAAACGCATCAGATAACTGTTGTGTAGTGTTTCTCTCGTCTTACCAAAACGATAATTTTTACAAAACAGGAGTGCTTCCGTATGCTGCCATTTTCAGTATTTTCACCAAACATTTGTTTAAAGCAGCAACACTTCCCACCAGAACCTATGATAATGAACCCACGGGGGTAAAGGACCGTGGGTAAAGGGCCGTGACGACTGCCCACGGGGGTAAAGGACCGTGACAACTAACCCACGGGGGTAAAGGACCGTGACGACTGCCCACAGGGGTAAATGGTCGTGACGACTGCCCACGGGGGTAAAGGACCGTGATGACTGCCCCACGGGGGTAAAGGACCGTGATAACTAGCCCACGGGGGTAAAGGACCGTGATAACTAGCCCACGGGGGTAAATGGCCGTGACGACTGCCCACGGGGGTAAAGGGCCGTGACGACTGCCCATGGGGGTAAAGGACCGTGATGACTGCCCCACGGGGGTAAAGGACCGTGATAACTAGCCCACGGGGGTAAAGGACCGTGATAACTGCCCACGGGGGTAAAGAACTGTGATAACTGCCCCACGAGGGTAAAGGGCCGTGATGACTGCCCACGGGGGTAAAGGGCCGTGATGACTGCCCACGGGGGTAAAGAACTGTGATAACTGCCCCACGAGGGTAAAGGGCCGTGATGACTGCCCATGGGGGTAAAGGGCCGTGATAACTGCCCATGGCTGCAGCTCGGTGGGCGCACGGCGGTGCGGGCGGGGGTCATGTCCACTCTCCGACCCCTCCCTGAGGGCCTGCGAGTCAGAGCAGGTTACCGTGGGAGCTCTACCAGCTGGTCCAGGGTCTCTGCCTGGACACCCAGGTCACTGTCCTGATGGGACACACATACTCCCGAGGACCAGCATCTGCTGCTTACAATGGGTCAGGCACCCTAACCAGGCAGGCTTCTGCCCACTGTGTTTGCTGGATGTGGGAGATGGCTGACCGAGCAAGACCTCATGGTCTTAGAGTACACACTTCAGGAGGGTTGTGATGCCTGTTTCAGTTTAAAATTGGGCACATTTTGGTAGATGTAATCATGTCTTCATTTAAATGGAACCTGTGTTGACCAAGAAGGATACGAGCAGTGCTGATCCAGAGGGTCGCAGCAGGAGACAGGTGAGGACGGCACAGGTCGCAGGTCGCGGGCACCTTCCGCTGCAACAGGCCACTCCCACCGGTTCCTGCCACTGCCCCTCCCCGGAGTCCAGGGGACTCGGCTGCTCCCGAAGTTCCACACCACGAGATACTGTCACACTCTTTCCTTCTTTAAATTGCTGGAAAGCTGTCATTAAACTGCAAACTACGTAAGGTAGAATCCATGCTTTACTCTCTGAATGTCCATATTCCCCAACACCTTTCTACATAACCATCACTGGATGGACGCTGAAGAGGCTGCCCACTTAAGACAGTTTGTGAGAAGCACACACAGAACCGCTCCCTCCATGGCACAGTGGAGGACATGCCAGGCCCTAGCAAACACAGTGGGGCACGGCCTGCTTGGGACACAGCATCTGGAAAGAACATCTGGGCTCTGACTGGTGAAGGCCAAGTAGGTCTGGAACAAAAAAACTAGAAGTTTCTGAGCTGGAGCGCCATCCGAGCAGCGAGCACTCCAAACAGGGCGATCAGCAGACACAGCTAGAACTGGGGCCATAGCCACAGGCGGGGGGGACCGGGCAGGACGGGGACCACAGCCACAGGCGGAGGGACCGGGCAGGACAGGGGCCACAGCCACAGGCGGAGGGACCGGGCCGGATGGGGACCACAGCCACAGGCGGTGGGACCGGGCAGGACAGGGGCCACAGCCACAGGCGGAGGGACCGGGCAGGACGGGGACCACAGCCACAGGCGGGGGGACCAGGCCGGACGGGCAGGTGAGCTCTGAGTATAGAGATCTCCGTATTCTTCTGGCTCTCTCCCTGAGCCCCGGGCTCAGTGCAGGGAGAGTGACAACAACGCATGGGGAACACGGGCCGGGAGACCTGGGCTCCTAGCTGGGGACAAGTCATTCTACCTGCCTGGCCTTGGCCAGAGGGGTTTGCCTTCCGAAATTCACATTTGCTCACATACCTTCAGAACAGCAGCGAAGGGTGAAGTCTATACGCACCTGGGTTTCCTGCTATCACCGGAAAGCCTGCGCGATCAAGGGAACCCCAGGGCAGCTTTCCCGCCCATCCCGACTTGACTTTGACGCCTTTCTGGCTCCTGCTCTTTCTCTTGCCCGCTACACTCAGGAACCAAGCCCCATCACACCGCTTCCCAAAGCAAGACCAAAGGGGCCGCCATCACAGTCACCTGAGTGTTTGTTGAAGTGCAGGTCCCAGCAGCCGGACACCACCAGCCCCGGATCTGTCCTGCGCCCACCTCCCAGCCCCTCCCACACCATCCACACCTCCAGCAGCCGGACACCATTGCCCTGGATCTGTCCTGCGCCCACCTCCCAGCCCCTCCCACACCATCCACACCTCTAGCAGCAGCAGCGCTTCCTCATCTCTCTGCCTGCAGTCTCCTCCCGTTAACGCACCCCACACCTGGCTGCCAGATGTCTCTTAATAATGAAAACAATGACAGCTACAAGCACTGCTCAGGAACACACCAGACACTGCTCAGAGTGCGTAATTTCACTTAAGTCTTACCACGACCTTATAAGGCGTCATCCCAATTTAAAGGAGAAAACTGGCCCTGGTCGGTTCGGCTCATCAGTTCGAGTGTCGGCCTGCGGTCCAGAGAGACCCGGGTTCGGTTCCCGCTAAGGGCATGTGCCTCGGTTGCAGTTTGTCCCCAGCCCTGGTTGGTCATGTGGGTGGCAACCACTCGATGTGTCCCTTTCACGTCGATGTTTCCCTCTCTCTCTCTCCCCCACCCCCCCATCTGAACAAAAAATGGAAAAATGTCCTCGGATGAGGATTAAATAAATAAAATAAAATAAAGGAGAAAACTGAGGCTTAGAAGTCATGTGAATTGCCCAGGCTCATACAGTAAGTAGCAGAACCAGGACTGAACCCGAGGATTTTCTGACCCTAAAACATAACCCACCGCTGTGCCATCACTGCCCCTCGGATGCCTTCCTCGGCCACCCGAGGCACACAGCCTGACCAAGGCTCACCAGCTCCAGCCCTAAGCATCCTTCCTCCGTGGCAACAAGGTCCGGCCACACTTTCAACAGTCCAGACATAAACATCGGGCCCTTCTCTTCACCACTGCTCACGTTGGCCCATGCAGAACGCCTTCTCTATCCCTCCGTTGTGTCAGGGACACGCGGAGCCTTCCTGGCCACTCCCTACGACACAGGTCTTCCTCCTCTGAACCTGCCACTTTAGAACAGACTGGCACTTCCCACCTGCCACTCACTCCCACTTTCTCTTCTGAAGACAGCGTCCCCTCCCAACGAGACCGCAAATCCCTCCAGGATGGGACCAAGGTTCATACATCTTTTTGTCCCAATGCAGTGCAGCACCTAGTAAGAGCAGGCACCTAGTACTTGTGAGGGTTATAGTCGAGTTCAAAGTGTGTGTGTGTGTGTGTGTGTGTTTTCAAAAGGTACAGGGGAGCGGATCACTAACTCGTCCTCAGAACCCCCCAGTCACTGACCTGCACGGGCATGGGTTCTCACCTGGTGGCCCCTTCCAGGGGAGACCTCAGCGTTAGCTCCCATACCAATTTAGCAGCAGAAACACCTCACAGTGCAGGAGGAATTAAAGAGGCTCCGGCAGGTGGTAATAACGGGACTAAGAGCTAGGGGTGCTGTGGGGTCCAGCCTGGCCTCCTGCACCCAGGGTTCTGAGGCCTCCCAGCAGGTCTCTGGCGCCACTGCCCAAGAGCACCGGCCGACTGTGGCGACCCTTCCCGGGGAAAGGGCCCACGCGCATGGGGAAGCTTCGCGTCTGTGCCCACGCTCACCTGAACACGTCGTTCCAGTACTCCTTCACCCAGGACACCTGATGGAAAGGGATGTCTAAGATCTGGCAAACTCTGTGTGCGTCTTCGCAGTCTTTGTCAGCAGTGCAGACTCCGTGTTCGTCCAGCGAGTCCCAGTTCTTCATGAACACCCCTGTCACCTGGTAACCTGGGAGGGAGGAGGGAAACCTTAGAGAGCACACGGAGGGCAGTGGCTTGAGCTCCATGCCTGCACTGCTGTGCCTGGCAGCCCCTGCTCTGCCTTCAGAGTCGATTCACACCCCAGCGCAAGCCACCTCAGGGCCCCCGGCGGGCGGGCGTCTCCGAGGGATGAGCAGGGTGAATGAAGCTGTTCTGTTGTCAGGACCCCATGTCGGCACAGGGCCTGGCACGTGGAGAGAATGAGTAAATGTGTACTGAACAAGTGACGAGCAGAAATTCAACACAATTTTTCTTTTTTTTTTTGGTACGTGCCCCTAGCGGAAACCAAACCCGGGACTCTCTGGACCGCAGGCCAATGCTCCAACCGCTGAGCCAAATCGGGCAGGGCTCAACACAATTTTTCAAAGCAAATAAAAACCACCTTCCAGTTATCAGAAAAATTGAACTCATTTCAAAAACTATTTCTAGTCACCACCTGGGATTTAGATTCTAAGTCATCAGACATCAAGACAAGTGGAATTTTGGCAATTTTAGCACCTATTTTTTTCCGTTTTCGGTTTTGACAAACTACTGGACCGAAAGCTGCAGAGACTTCAGCCTTGCACCATCGTAGTGAACCCCTCGGGCCTGCGTGAGAAATCGGTTTCTCGAGGCAGCTCAGCACAGGAGACGGAGATGGGAATCAGGGCATCTGACGGTAGGAGGACTACCACAGTGCTTCAAGGAGCAGAATCGTGGCAAAGCTCTGCCCAAACTTAAAGGCCACGTTTCCAAGACCCTCCCATCCAGCAGGTAATCAGACCCTCCCTCCTCTGCTTCCCAAGCACCGGAATCCACATGGGGTTCCAGTAGTTCCCCCTACCGTCCCCCCTACCAAGGACAGGGGCTGTGTCATACAGCCCTCTGTCCCTACCGCCTAGCAGTGCCCAGCACCTGAGAGAAGCCCCAAGTGCACGTGTAACGAACAACTCCGCTCTCAGACCTTTAAAGTCCACTCTTCTATAGCCTCACCTGCCTGATCTTTTTGTTGTTGTTGATCCTCACCAGAGGACATTTTTCCATTGATGTTTAGAGAAGGTGGGAGAGAAGAGGGAGGGGGCAGAGAGAGACACATTGATTGGATGCCTCCTGCATGAGCCCCAACTGGGGCTGGGGATCCAACCTGCAACCCAGGTATGTGCCCTCGAGCGGGAATTGAACGGGAGACCTTCTGGTGCACAGGCCAATGCTCTAACCAGAGCCCCACCAGCCAGGGTGGCCTGATCATCTTTCTCATGGAAACGTGACCCACTTCCACAGGCACAAGCTCCAGGACGGGACCTCAGCCCCTTGTCAATCCTTAACTTTCCCGGGGGGTACATGAAGGGACGTGCTCCTCCCAGAGGACTGGGAACGTCCTCATTGCCAAGATGAGAGGACCATGCTTTTTCTCTGCTGCGTCCATCAGCTTCGCCCAAGGAAGGCTGGATCCCGGGCAGGAGGGCGAACTGACCTCCCCGAAGTTACATGACATATGTGGTCTCCCCAGGGCCATCTTCCCCATCTCCCAAAGCGTGCCACACCCCTCACCAGGAAACTCCAAGGGCTCTGACTGTCCACCCAACGTCATCTAAAGCCCCTAACGTAACATCCCCCACAATCCGGGCTCGGTCTGCTCCCCCACCCCCCTCCTTCCACCCGACCTGGCCAGGCCCCTGCAACAGGCAGGCCAGCTCCCGTCTGCGCTGGGCCCCCGCCCCGCCCCCAGCTCGGGCACCTCCACCTGCGATGCTTCCCTTGCGGCGCGGCTCCGTTTGCCTATAACACTAGTCGGCATTTTCGAGCGATGCCGCCGCCAGGCACTAACAGCCCTGCCCGTTCTCGGGGTGCGGGGGCGTGCGAGCCGCACTCGGGGTACACCCCTTGCGTGCACTGTTACTTTTTCCTCCAGTGGCCCTGGCGGGTGGGCGTCGTCCCCCGTCAACCCGCCCGGGTCAGGACCTGCATCCTCTCTGCACCCCGAACCCCGCACCTAAGCTGGCTGCCGGCACAGGCGGGACCCGGGGGACGGAGGGCTGGGGCGGAAGGGAGGCTGCGCTCGGACCCGGGGCCGCGGACGCCCGCCCGCCCGCGGCACTGGCGCGTTCAGGGGCGCTGGGGCCCCTCGGCGCGGCCGACAAAACACGCAGAGCCCGTGGGCGCGCAGGCGCGCACCGCCCACAGCCCGAGCCGGCAGGTGCGGACGCCGCCGCCGCCCTCGCGCCGCGGAGCCTGGGACCCAGCGAGACGCCCGCGCGCGGCCCCGGGCGAGGGGAGGGCAGGAGCGCGGCCTGCAGCGCGCGGGCGGCACCCGGGCGGCGCCGCCTCACCTCGGCGCCTCAGCAGCAGCGCGGCCACGGCGCTGTCCACGCCGCCCGACAGGGCGCACACGACGTGCCGCGCCGCCTGCATCCGCGCGCCGCCAACGCCACCTCGGCCGCCGCCGCTTCCGCGCCGCGCCGGAAGTCCCACCCCCGCCGCGGCGCCCCGCAGACGCGGCCCGGCCGGAAGCTGGTCCGTCGAGCGTCGCGTTCCGCCAGCCTGCCGTTCCGGGCTTCCGCTGCCCAGTACCCGCGTGGGCCCAGGCACACCTCCGCTCTGGGCGCGCACCCCTGCCTCCCACTCAGGACTGACACTGTGCGCGCACGCGTGTGTGTGTGTGTCTCCCCTGCATCCCACTCAGAACTGGTACTGTCGCCCTGGCCGGTTTGGCTCAGCGGTTAGAGTGTTGGCCTGCAGCCCAGAGAGCCCCGGGTTCGGTTCCCACTAAGGGCACGTACCTCGGTTGCAGTTTGTCCCCTGGCCCCGGTTGGTCGTGTGGGTGGCGGCCACTCGGTGTGTCCCTTTCATGTCGATGTTTCTTTCTCTCTCTTCCTCTCTCTCCCTCCCACTCTATCTGAACAAAAAAAGTCCTCAGGGGAGGATTAAAAAAAAAAGAACTGGCGCTGTCCATGTGTGCCCGTGCTGCCTGCCTCGTGTGCTGCCTGCCTCCCAGTACCGACGTGTGTGTGCGTGTGACCCCTGCCTGCCTCTCAGTACCGACGTGTGTGCGCGTGTGACCCCTGCCTGCCTGCCTGCCTCTCAGTACCGACGTGTGTGCGCGTGTGACCCCTGCCTGCCTCCCAGTACCGATGTGTGTGTGCATGTGTGACCCCTGCCTGCCTCTCAGTACTGATATGTGTGTGCATGTGTGACCCCTGCCTGCCTCCCAGTACTGATGTGTGTGTGCATGTGTGACCCCTGCCTGCCTCCCAGTACTGATGTGTGTGTGCATGTGTGACCCCTGCCTGCCTCTCAGTACCGACGTGTGTGCGCGTGTGACCCCTGCCTGCCTCTCAGTACTGATGTGTGTGTGCATGTGACCCCTGCCTGCCTCCCAGTACTGATGTGTGAGCATGTGTGACCCCTGCCTGCCTCCCAGTACCGATGTGTGTGTGCATGTGTGACCCCTGCCTGCCTCCCAGTACTGATGTGTGTGTGCATGTGTGACCCCTGCCTGCCTCTCAGTACCGACGTGTGTGCGCGTGTGACCCCTGCCTGCCTCTCAGTACTGATGTGTGTGTGCATGTGACCCCTGCCTGCCTCCCAGTACTGATGTGTGAGCATGTGTGACCCCTGCCTGCCTCCCAGTACTGATGTGTGAGCATGTGTGACCCCTGCCTGCCTCCCAGTACCGATGTGTGTGTGCATGTGTGACCCCTGCCTGCCTCTCAGTACCGATGTGTGTGTGCATGTGTGACCCCTGCCTGCCTCTCAGTACTGATATGTGTGTGCATGTGTGGGCCTTCTCCCATGTTTGAGGAGAATTAAGATCCAATGACTTCTGTCCTGCCTGAGGACATTTGCACAGCAGATGGAGCACCTGGGCCCCCAGGAGAGCTGGCTGCTCCCCAAGCCGCCAGGGGAGGGGGATCAGAGAGCCAGGGAGCAGTACCTGCCTGCCTCTCAGTACCGACGTGTGTGTGCATGTGTGACCCCTGCCTCCCACTTGGTACTGACGTGTGTATGTGTGCGTGTGTGATGTTTTACCTCCAAGTCTTTGACCACTGTGTATAATCCCGGTCCTGGACGGACCAGTGATGGCGAAGACAGTGCCCCCCGGTGCCCCTGCCTACAGCGTGTGAGCCATGTGGATTTCAGAGATGGACCTGAGACACGTGCACCAGAAACTCATGAAATGTAAAAACCAGTGAGCTGGAACTCTGAAGCCCAGGAGGGTGGCTGTCCAGTGGCAGCCAGAGGCTCACACCACTGGACGGAGACAGGGGCCACCCTCCGCTCAGCACTCCTCTTGTGTCGCCTGTGTGGCTGCTTACCCCGGGGGCGGGCTAGGACACAGGAGCAGGACAGGAGAGCAGCTTCAGGGGCCGGCCAGCCAGAGACCAGACGGGAGGAGAGAGGGCCACCGCCCCGGGCGGGAGGTGCTGCTTTATCTGAGGGGGCCCGTGGGGGCCTTCTCCCATGTTGGAGGAGAATTAAGATCCAATGACTTCTGTCCTGCCTGAGGACACTGGCAGAGCAGATGGAGCACCTGGGCCCCCAGGAGAGCTGGCTGCTCCCCAAGCCGCCAGGGGAGGGGGATCAGAGAGCCAGGGAGCAGCAGCGCCACCCCAGGGGTAGACAGGGATGGCCAGAGCCCCACTGGGTCCGTCTCCCACCAAACACTAAGCCCCCAGAAGACAGGGGTGCCTGAGCTTTGCACCCCACTGTATCCCCAGCAGAAGCGCAGCCCACCCCCAGCAGAGCCTCCATAAATACTTGTGGCGTGCACTCAGTTCCGGACTTTGGTTTTTCTCCTATGAACTGTGAGGCCAGGCCCCTGAGGACCCTCGTGCACCGACACTGCCCCTGGGGCCCTCTTGCCCCTGGGAACAGAGGGACGAGACACGAGGAGGGCCAGGCCTGTCCCCCAGCAAGCCTGCCTTGTCACTCAGGACGACGCGGGCAGGGATGCACCCCTCCGGGCATCTTCAGACCGGTTTGTCTCCAGGCACAGCAGTGCCGTCCCGTTTCGCTTTCCGGCTCGACACCACCGGAGCCACCATTCCCGGTGGGGGTTCCCATCAACCAGCCCCTTCCCTCAGCCCTTGGGGACCCGGGTTCCTGGCCTCCAGCAGGGAACACCAGGTGGGAGCCAAGGAAGGGGTCCAGTTAGCAGCTTTTCTGTCTGCAATTTCCTCATAAACAGGGAGATGCTGTAGGGATTCGTCTTCCAGGCCGGCCAGCTTGTAAAACCTAGTCCATGAGAATGGCCTCAGGCAGGGGACACGCTGAGCAGCAGGTGGCCTCAGGCGCCAGGGTTGCCCGCTGGCCCCCACAGGCGCGCTCCTGCTCGGAGCACAGCCAGGGGTCCGCCGCAGCCCTGCCCTCGGTTTGCAGGTGCGCCCCCTCCCTCCACACCCCCTCCATGCTGCAGCCCCACCGCAGCCGGGCCCGCGCCCCTCTCAGGTCTGGCCATCGGCCGAGGCCCCGGGGTGCCCACTGGGAGTGCGAGTGCTCCGCCTGCCCCGACCAGGGTCCACATTTACACCCAGTTTTGTTCACACTGCTTTCCCCCATTACATCCCCATGACTTATTTCTTTAATAATTGAGGTTTGTACCTTTGACCACCTTCACCCGTTTCCCGCACCCCACGCCCGCCTCTGGCAGCTACCCGTCTGCTCTCTGAATCGCATGCTGAGACCCCACACCCACGCGCCAGCGTGTGGTGATTCTTCGTCTGCCATTTCACTTAGCACAGTGCTCTCAGCGTCCACCCACCGATGCCCACGCTGGATGCTGAAGCTTGGATAATATAAATCTCGCATACTAATTAGAATGGAAAACAAAAAACTAGGTAGATTTGAAAATCAAAATATGCTTCAATATATTTTTGTTTATTTTAGTTTAACTTAAATCTAGAATAAACTTTCCAGGCAAACTTAGTTTTAAGAAGAGTCACTTGCTATTTTACATAAAAGGTTCGAAAGAAAACTCTTCGGCTGGAGGATTTCCTTCGCGGCCTGCGCGGAGCGGGGCGGTGACTGCCGCTGGACACAGTCCCGCCCCCCGCCCCCCAGCGATTGTACTTAGGTTTTAAGCGCTCGATCCCAGTGCAGTTTCCGCGCCGTCTCTCCCTAGGACTGACCGCTCCAGGACCGTCTGTCCCCAACAGTGGATGCGAGGGCGTCGCCCCTCAGAACTTGAGAAGTGGCGAGTCCACGTTTTCTTTGTTGGCCTCAGGACTCAGCTGGATCAGAGGCGAACACAAGTCTATCAGCTGCAGGACAGAAGCAGCAGGTGAGCAGAGCGTCCCTGTCGCCCTTCCCAGTGGCTCCCAGGACTGTTCACTGAGAACCGGCAGCCCAGGAGCCACTCGCACTGCGGCTCGGGGCCTTGGACAGCTGTGCTCCCCTCGCCCGGGCCACCAGGGCCTGGAGCAGAACGGCTGTGGCTGTGCCTGCGGGGGCCCCGGGCTCCTGGGCAGGGCTCCTCAGCAGGGCTTGAACTCTGAGCTCCCCCATCACCTGGGCCACCAGGGCCTGGAGCAGAACGGCTGTGGCCGTGCCTGCGGGGGCCCCGGGCTCCTGGGCAGGGCTCCTCAGCGGGACTTGAACTCTGAGCTCCCCCATCACCTGGGCCACCAGGGCCTGGAGCAGAACGGCTGTGGCCGTGCCTGCGGGGGCCCCGGGCTCCTGGGCAGGGCTCCTCAGCGGGACTTGAACTCTGAGCTCCCCCATCACCTGGGCCACCAGGGCCTGGAGCAGAACGGCTGTGGCCGTGCCTGCGGGGGCCCCGGGCTCCTGGGCAGGGCTCCTCAGCGGGACTTGAACTCTGAGCTTCGCCACCAAAGATGAGGTGTGCCCCGAGACATGCTGCCTGAGAAGCCTCAAGGGTCACCTCCAGGGCCACCACGATGTCCGGGAGCCGAGGCCCCTCAGAGCCTAAGCCCACGGCCCTCCTGCCCGCCTCACCTGTCCCACCTCGGGGAGCGGCTTGGACCCCGTGTTTCTGTCCGTGTCTGGGGTGTTCACCAGGAGGTCGATCAGAGGCCGGCTGTCGGCCCTCAGGGCCACGTCTGCCTCCGGGGTGCTGCAGAAGTCGATGAGGGGGGCGTCGGCGCGGGGCGAGCTCGCAGCTTTCGGGGCGAGGTGAAGCTGGTCCAGCCGGATGTCCACGAGGACAGCCTGGACGAGAAGACGGGACGGGGCAGTGCTCGGGGAATCAGGCCTGGCCGGGTCCCCGTGGCTGACCGTGTGGGAAGGCAGGGGAGGAGGGCCGGGATGGGCCCTGGAGGGGAGCTGGCCACCCTGCCCCGTGACTGGTCTCCTGTCAGCGGCCAACACGAGCTCCCACGGACCCTGACTGCCACCTGCTTCCCCTCATCCTCTGAACCTGGCCCTCTCGGCTCAAAGGGGCAGAGGTGGGGCCTTTTCTCCTCCAGAGACTGGAGGCCTAGGTCGCAGGGTGAAGCCCTGCAGAGGCGACCCCGCGGCCACGTCCTGAGTTACCGCTTGGCTCCCAGGCAGGTTCTGCTAATCCAACGACAAGAGGAAAGTCCTCTCCTTTACCTCTCCAGGGGACAGCTCCTCAAGTGGCTGCGCCTCCCCCCGCGCTAGTTCTGCGGTGACACTTTCTGAAACAGTAACTTCACTCTTTTCTGGAGAAAAGCAGAGAGCCCGCGGCACAGCTTCCGGAGGAGAAAAACGCCCATCAGACGACGCGCCCGAGCGCTGGGGTGCGGCCTGCCTGCTGCTCCCGGGCCCCGCTCTGCAGAGGAGGAAGGGAAGGCTGGGGGATTCCCGGCAAGGCCGGTGTGCTTGGCCGCGCGCCGAGTGTGGAGCCGTGACCACAGCATCCTGTCCATCAGACTGATTTCTGAGGTCCCATCAGCTCTGAAATTCTGCCCACCTGCTATCAACATGTGCCTATTTGATTATTAAATAGGAGGAACAGAGCGAGTCCACCCAAGGAGTTGGCCTCGGTCCCTGTATTGTGGTTCTGTACCTGCACCCCGTTCTCAGATACGTCCACCCGCTAGCTCGGGGAGCCCACGGGCAGTCTACCAGCTGTTGCCTCAGGAGGCTGACCTGGCGCCGGGAAAGGTGGGGTCCCCCAGTTACAGACTCCACAGGGGGGGCTTCCCTGTAACACAGCCCCTTCTGGCCTATTGATCCTTCGATGACTTCCCTGCTAGACAGAGCAGTGCACACGGCCACGGGCTACCTGTCTGCGTCCTGCGGCCCCCCAGGCCCGGACAGTCTGCCACCGGGCGGCCCTCCAACACCCGGCGGCAGTGCACATGGCCACGGGCTACCCGTCTGCGTCCTGCTGCCCCCGGGCCCGGACAGTCTGCCACGGGGCGGCCCTCCAACACCCGGCGGCAGTGCACACGGCCACGGGCTACCTGTCTGCGTCCTGCTGCCCCCCAGGCCCGGACAGTCTGCCACCGGGCGGGCCCTCCAACACCCGGCGGCAGTGCACACGGCCACGGGCTACCCGTCTGCGTCCTGCTGCCCCCGGGCCCGGACAGTCTGCCACGGGGCGGCCCTCCAACACCCGGCGGCAGTGCACACGGCCACGGGCTACCTGTCTGCGTCCTGCTGCCCCCCAGGCCCGGACAGTCTGCCACCGGGCGGGCCCTCCAACACCCAGCGGCTTGAAACTGAAGCCACGGAAAGCAGCAATCTCTGTAAATAACACACTGTTTTCTTTGTACTATTTTTCCATCCTCACCTGAGAATACTCTCCCATGGACTTTTTAGATAGAATTGGGGGGTAGGGACAGAGACACATCGACTGGTTACCTCTGAACGACCCCGACTGGGCAAGGATTGAACCCGTGACTCCTTGGTCCACAGGCTGGTGCTCTAACCACTGAGCACCCGGCCAGGGCTCTTTTTACTATTTTAGAGGCTTTATGACAACCCGAAGGAAGAATGTTCTCCGTTACATTTCAAAGTGCACATCATCTGCAAGCGGAACACGGAGCGGCTCCGGTGCCGGCTCCCGCGGGTCAGCCGCTGCCCTCTGCCCCCCCACGCGCCAGCACGGTTCTCCGGTCTTCTGTCCTCCGGACACACAGACGTCACGTATGCACACGTGACTCACACGACACCTGCCGTGGGCAGAGCTGCACCTGCTCATGCTCTTCTCAGACCTCGCTTCCTCTGCAGAGACGGGTCACACCCTCCTCCAGCACCCTCTCGCGGTCCCCGTGGGCCTGCCGGTCAGCAGGCACAGGGCTAACTCGGCCTCTTCCTGGCCACCTAACGGGGGCCGGTCTCGTCTCGGCCGCGCCCTCTGCTGCCACAGGCATCTGTCCACCTAAGCTGCCATTTCCATGCCGTGGCAGGACCGCGGGTCAGAGGCCGGGGGAGGGGATTTCAGCAGACCTCCCAGATCGCCCCACGCCGCGCCCGTCAGCAGGGACACGGGCGACCTGCAAAGCCCGTCTCCGGTTTCTGTGACTAGCGTCTCCCTGACAGCGTGCTCGGCTCCTGACAGGTGACCACCACAGGCCAGGCAGCCTGCCAGGCACAGGGAGCCCGGGGGCTGTGTGTGAGACTAATGTACCGCAGCCCGTCTCTTACCTCACGGCACGCGCTCCCCGGGGCCCCGAAGACAGTCGCTGAGCAGACACACACAGGGGAGAAGGCAGAGTCCTGGGCACGGCTGTAGGGGTCAGCAATGGCAGGCCAGAGAGCCGACGGCCGGCAGGGGTGGGCAGGGCGGACACGCGCCTGGTGCTCAGGGGGGTCCTGGAGGCCGGCCCTGAGGAGCGCTGAGCCGGAGTGCTGTGGATGGCCCTGGGGAGACAGAGCGGGGCTCAGGGACAGACGCCCCCAGAGACATCTCGTTACTCAGCCAGCAGGAACTCCTCTGTGCAACAGAAAAGATTCACGCCAGCCCACCTGCGTGGGCTGTTCTCTGCGGGGCTGCTGCCAAGCCCTGGTGCCTGCGTGGGCCTCGTACCATCAGATGTGACTGCACTTGACAGGTGGGGGCGTGGAGCCCACTTCCCGGAGGGTCAGGAGAGACCTGCCCCCGTTACTGGTGCAGCTATTCCCAAGAGGACATCCCAGCACTGGGGAGCCTGGGATGACCCGTCTGGGGTTCTACCCCGTCAAGGCCAGTCCTGATGCTCTCCAGAGGCGGAAACAGCCTGCATGTTGACAGGGGGCGGGCGGGCGGAAGGGCTGGACCAGGAGTCTCCCTACGCCTTTTACTGCTGGCCACTGGCCGCTCCACCGACACTCAGGGAAAAGAAATAACACCACAAACAAATGGAATCCTCAAAATAACCCCGGGAGGTCCAAACGATGCCCATGCACGGGACCGAGGCCCAGTGTGTGCAAGGCGGTCCGGGCTCGGGCTCTGGGCTCAGGCTCTGGTCTGGCTCTGCCCACGGCACTGGAAGGGGAGGAGCCTCAGTGTGGCTCACACTGGACGGAAAGTATCTGGCCCAGCCCACAAAGTGCCTGCAAGTTCACACACACGTAAGTGAGAGCCCCGGTCAGGGCTGAAGACCCGTGCCCCACCGCAGGCCAGCCTGGGCCCGCGTGACCTGTGGTAGGTGTCCAAGTTTACTGAGGACTGGGGCAAAGGCCAGACAGACGTGGCCGGGCCGTGGGGTCACCACGCACTTGCGAGTGCACCGTGAGAGGTGAGTGGGTGTGTGTCTGCGTTTATAGTCAAATCGCTCGTTACCTCCCTGCCGACGTGCAGGACTGCGGCCTCTGTGCCCGAGAGAACCTGGGCGTCGCACTGTCTGGAGGGTCACCTGCGACAAGAGGAAGCATGTGGTCAGTGCAGCACAGCAAGCGGTCAGCCCCTCGCTGGGGCTCCTCACCAGACGGGCATTCTCTGACTGTCTCCGCTTCCCCGGGTACAGCGGAGGTGTGCAGGAAGGAGACGCCCAGACAAGCCCACAGGGAAAGCCGGGCTGCTACCCCGGCCGGCAGGGAGCCGGGCCTGGGCAGTGGCGAAGACCAGGCTGACTCAGCACGGCCACGTGAGCTGGATGCCCGCCCACGGCTGCAGCGCTGATGGGGCCAGGCTCTAGGCGAGCCCCCAACGCCCACAGCACCCCGTCCCCTGGACCAGGGCCAGCACAGTCATCCAAGATGCCACTTCCTTTATTTATTTATTTTTATCCTCACCTGAGGACATTTCTGCATTCATCTTCAGACAGACCGGGAGGAAGAGACAGAGAGAGAAACATCGATGTGAAAGGGACACATCGAGTGGTTGCCACTCACACGACCCCCACCAGGGCCGGGGACAAACTGCAACCAAGGGAACCGAACCCAGGACTCTTTGGTCCATGGGCCGATGCTCTAACCGCTGAGCCAAACTGGCCAGGGCAAGAAACGCCACACCATCGCGTGAGGTCCTGGGGTTGTCCATGCCCTGCGCGGCTGATCTCGTCTGATCACAAGATGACAAGCGGGTGGAGGCTGAGCGAGCCCCAGGCTGCAGCCCCACAGTCAGCCCTGTCGTAATACCGGCTCCACAGAAACGAATTCACAAGCTCACCCCGGGCCCCCGGGCCCCCGGGCCCCCAGAGAACACCTTGCTGTCTCTTCGCCCAGGGTAAGGACGCGGTCCCCAGAGCCCCACCCCAGCCCCAAAGGAAAGGTGGGGAGAGGCCGCTGCCCTGCAGGTGTCCCCTCCCATCTCAAACAACCTGCCCCTGGCCCTGGCCCTGCCCCCCCCAGCTCAGGTCCCACATGCCTGCACCTTCTCAGAGCAAATCTTCCCCAAAGAGCTGCCCTGAGCGCGTTTCCCCACTGTCTTCTATGAGACCTCACCATGAACATGCCTCGGGCAGACCGCAGTCCTCCCCACCCCCACCTCCACCTCGGTCCTCCCTCTCAACGCGTCCTTCCGACTCCACATCCCTCCAACTGCACGTCCCTCCGACTGCACGCACTGGTGTACCGCACCTTCCTCCCTCTTCCGCACTGCGCCGTCCCAGCAAGAATGAGCGCCCTCACAGGCCCCAGCAGCCGACCCAGACCCCTGCTCACCTGCCCCCACACGGCTCACCCACCTGCCCCCCCACGGCTCACCCACCTGCCCCCCCACGGCTCACCTGCCCCCCCCCACGGCTCACCTGCCCCCCACGGCTCACCTGACCCCCACGGCTCACCCACCTGCCCCCCCACGGCTCACCTGCCCCCCACGGCTCACCTGACCCCCGCAGGGCTCACCTGACCCCCACGGCTCACCTGCCACTCAGCACCGGCCCTGGAGCCCGGAGGCAACGACGGCCCAACAGGCCGAACTGGCCAGTGGACTCTGCCCAGCACGGCTCTTCCCCATGGAGGGAGCACCAGCTGTTCTGAACCCCCCAGTCCCCTCTCCACACCGCCACATCCTATCCCAGTCTACCAGACGTCTCCCAGGTCAGAGCTCCCCACCTTCTCCACTGCCACCCCCTAATCTCTTTCCAGACTGTGACGCGGCTTCTGAGAGGTCCTCCCTGCTCCCACCTGGCGCGCAGGGCCTGCTGCTCCCTCAGCAGAGGCTCTTCCGAGGGTCGCACCGTCCTGCCCAGCACTTCCTCCCGCACCACCACCCTCCAGGGCCAGACAGCCCGGGAGCTGGCCTCCGGCTACCTCTCCTTTCCTTCCTAGTGACCACCTTAGCTAGTGTCGAATCAAGACCAAGGTCTCAGCGTCCTGGTGGGGAGAGAGGTCAGGCGAGCAGTGCTGAGCACGGACACGATGGAAGAGCGTGGGCAGCCTGCCACAAGTGGACTTAGGAGGGCAGTGTGCTCTCCTTCACCAGTTCCATCTCTCCGGCCACTAGGGACGAGGGCGGGAGCCAAGGCAGCCTCACTGAACCACGAGGAAGAGAAGCTAATCACGCAAAACACACCGGACCACCAAGGAGAGACAGCCAGCTCTGCAATAGGAGGGAGACGCACACGCACCCGATTTAAACCACGTCACTCTGGGCTAGAGGCAGAACCTAACCCTCACTGTGCGGCTACGTCCCCCACCCGATTTAAACCACGTCACTCTGGGCTAGAGGCAGAACCTAACCCTCACTGTGCGGCTACATCCCTCACCCGATTTAAACCACGTCACTCTGGGCTAGAGGCGGAACCTAACCCTACCTGTGCGGCTACGTCCCCCACCCGATTTAAACCACGTCACTCTGGGCTAGAGGCGGAACCTAACCCTACCTGCGCGGCTACGTCCCCCACCCGATTTAAACCACGTCACTCTGGGCTAGAGGCGGAACCTAACCCTACCTGCGTGGCTACGTCCCCCACCCGAGCCTTCACGCTGGGTCCAGAGCTCGTCAAGCACCGTCGTGTCTCAGGACCTTTGCACGGCCATTTCCTGCCCGGAGGGCCCTGCGCCTGGCTGCTCTCTTCTCTCACAGCTGCATCTTCTCGGCTCAGAGCTCTGCTGTGTCACCTCCTGGGGGGAGCCTTCGCCGACCATCTGTCCAAATTCTTCCCCAGCATACACGTCATTACGACACCATCTTCTTTATTCACTTCATTACACGTGCGATCTGAGCATGTACTCATTTGACGACACTTCTTATCTTTCACTATTAAGACGTAGGTCCCACGAGACCAGGGGTCTGTCTCTTCATCATACCCTTGTACCCACGAGTGCCCAGGGCCAGAAACTCCGTAGGGCGGCTCATTCTCCCACGAGCAGTGACTGGAGAGGAGGGTTCCGGGCTTTAGGCCACCCGCACTCGCCAGCAGTGCCCATAACTGCAAACGAGTCGACGCCTAGAGAGCCCCGGAGCGAGGCCGACTGTCCTCCGTGCACGTGCGGCCCGGCTCGGACCTTCAGGGCAGAGTAAGCAGGTGCGTGAGTGTCGGGAGAGGTGCCAAATGGCCAAGACCAGAACTGCGGGGAAACCGCCACTGCTCACACGGATGGGACAGTCACACACAGCCGGGACACACAGTCACACAGCCGGGACACACAGTCACACAGCCGGGACAGTCTCACACAGCCGGGACACACTCACACGGCCGGGACACACTCACACGGCCGGGACACAGTCACATGGCCAGGACAGTCTCACACAGCCGGGACACACTCACACGGCCAGGACAGTCTCACACGGCCGGGACCCACTCACACGGCTGGGACAGTCTCACACAGCCGGGACACACTCACACGGCCGGGACACACAGTCACACAGCCGGGACACAGTCACATGGCCGGGACAGTCTCACGTGGCCGGGACACACAGTCACACGGCCGGGACACACAGTCACACGGCCGGGACACAGTCATACGGCCAGGACACAGTCACACGGCCAGGACAGTCTCACACGGCCGGGACACACACTCACACGGCCGGGACACACAGTCACACAGCCGGGACACAGTCACACGGCCGGGACACAGTCACACGGCCGGGACGGTCTCACACGGCCGGGACCCAGTCACATGGCCGGGACCCAGTCACACGGCCGGGACACACAGTCACACGGCCGGGACACACACTCACATGGCCGGGACACACACGGCCGGGACACACAGTCACACGGCTGGGACACAGTCACACGGCCGGGACAGTCTCACACGGCCAGGACAGTCTCACACGGCCGGAACCCAGTCACACGGCCGGGACACACAGTCACACGGCCGGGACACAGTCACACGGCCGGGACACACAGTCACATGGCCGGGACACACACTCACATGGCCGGGACACAGTCACAAAGCTGGGACACACACGGCCGGGACACACAGTCACACGGCCAGGACAGTCTCACACGACGGGACCCACTCACACGGCCGGGACACAGTCACACGGCCGGGACACTGTCACACGGCTGGGACACTGTCACACTCCAGCAGCCGACTGGAGACCTGGGACAGCACGTTCAGCAGAAACATGGAGAGGCCACAGGTCAGCCGCAGGGCTGAGCGGTCCCGGGTTGACTTGTGCCATCAAAGCTTGAAAAGAAGCCCGAAAGGATCACGCTGACTGGAGACCCCACCGCCTGCCAAGGCAACGCCCAGGCCCCCAGAGGGCAGCAGACGCCGGGCACTCGCTGTACAACACTCACGATGTCCGGAAGACATGAAGAACCACTACATGCCGGGCCGGTTTGGCTCAGCGGTTAGCATGTGGCCTCACGAACCAAAGGGTCTCAGGTTTGATTCCCAATCAAGGGCAAGCACCTGGGTTGTAGGTTCGATCCCGGCCCTGGCTGGGGTCACGTGGAAGGTAACCAATCGACGCGTCTCTCTCACATCACTGGTTCTTTCTCGCTCCCTCTCCCTCTCTCCCTTCCACTGTCTCTTTAAAAAAAAAAAAGAAGTCAATGAAAAAAGTATCCTCAGATTAACAAACAAAACAAAAAAATGTGACCATAACCAGCAAAAAAGTAGTCAATAGAACAGACCCCAGAGTGACAGGGAAGATAGAACTAGAAGAAAGACTTTAAAACCACCATGAGAACACGTTCGAGAATTTTAAAGAAGAGATAAACACCTGGGGACAAGACGGGGAACTATAATGTCAGAAATGGAACACAGTTGACCGGGTGGGCTCAGCAGATCCCACTGCGGAAGAAAGAGCAGCACAAGGAGGGACGCTGAGAAGGAACGCAGCTCCGTGACCTGCAGGACGACATCGAGAAGTGCGTAACACATGCGCTTAGAGTCTCAGGGAATGAGGGGAAGCAAGATAAATATTTGAAAAGGTAATGGCCACATTTCCCCAGATTTTATTAAAAACAACCCACGGATCAAAGAAGGTCAGGAACCCTCAAGCACAACCAACAGGGAGAGCCACACCGACGTGCGATGACCGACTCGCTGAAATAACACGAGGACTCTCGAGAGCTGGCTTCTCAGCCAAACCAGCCAGGAGACACAACGTGCGCGAAGGAACAAGAGCGCCAAGAACCATCGTCACCAAAACTAATACTTTTGCAGAACTTTAAATATAATTTTCTCATGATTTTAAAAACACACTGCAATTTTCCTTTTACTTACCAGTAGGGAACTTGGGCGTTTTAAATTGGCTCGCAGGGACCGGCATAACCCTGGTCTTGGGATTCGGAAAGGAATCTCGCCTGGAACCCCCGGCTCTACTCAGCCGAGAAGACAGGGACGAGCTGGGCTGAGCGTGCAGCCTCGGGCCACCGAGCGCTGGCGTTTGTGGCTGCACGACAGCCGGCGAGGTGGGTGCCGCGGGCTGCTCGGCTGTGGACGCAGCCAGCCCAGGGCTCTGGGCCGGCCTGCAGACAGCCGCGGGGTCCGCCTGCAGAGCTGGCTGGACAGCGGTAGTGCCCGCCTGGCCCGGGTTCGAAGGAGGCCAGGAGCTGTCTGCAGAGATACTTGGCCGTTCACTGGATGTCTCTGGAAGAGGAGACACACAGCCCTGGTTATCAATCGGCCCATGTAATTAGATTCACGAAGCTATTAACACACACGGGTGTGTTTCTTTCCTTCCGCACATCTACTCTAAAACGCCTTCCAGTGAGGAAAGTATCACTGTTAAGGTTCCCACAGAAGAGGAATGCGGCACGACGAACAAGGCTCTGCACGCCCATCAGGCAAAACCACACACGGGACAACCCAGGCTGCGGGCTCAGCGAGCGTGTTCCAGGGCCAGCTCTGGGCACAGTCACCAAGACGCAGAGTTCCCGCCCTGCCGTCTTCACTGGCTGCGGCCACAGCAGACCCCTACCCGTCGAGCAGAGGGAAGGAGACAGGAGAAAACATCTACTTGGAGTGCCACGCAGGCATTTCACAGTGTGACGAGCCTGCTACACCCAGAGCCCGGACACTCAGATAAGGACCCAAGCTCGGAATTTCCGCCCCAAGTCCCTGCTTTGCTTTTCCTGGGGCACCTTTACAAATAACCACTTAGACCTGAGCCTGCAAAAGGTCAGCGACCTCCACGCCAAACACCTCTGAAGTAACAGGTGCTTGACCCTGCTCTGCCCCCGCTCACGGGTGACCTCTGTGCCTTTCCGTGGGCTCACTGCCCCACCTCCACTTCTGGGTCTGTAAGTCATAAACCCAGGGACTTGGCTTCTTCTGTGTGAGCGTAATGCAACTGCACCCGCAATCAAAACCACCCCGGCTCTGCCTCCTCCCCAGAAGGGGAGCCAGCTGCTGGGGGAGCTCCTGGCGACCCTGTGGGGGCTTGTGCCTCCTCATTCGGCAGATCACAGGTCATCTTCTGAATGTCCTTAATCCAATGTTGCAGCTGCAGGCCCCGGCAGAGTGCCTCACCTGTCCAGTCAGGGAGGGGAAGGGGGAGGGGAACAGGGAGAGGACGCAATCACTCCGGTCTGTCCCTTTAAGTCACAAGGAGGTTGGGTCATATCAATCAACAACGCTGTTTCAAACAGAATAGCAAATAAACGAGGGCAAAAACACTCTGCTGCCAAGATACCAATATATGAGTGACTGGTAACAGATTTTCTTCCTGTAACTGTTGGAGAATAGACCACTCTGCTGGGAACAGCACCGCAGGTGACTGGCAGACACAGACAGCCCGTGGGCCTGCGTCCTCCGAGGCCCCGCCCAAGGCATCCTAAGGAAGATGAGGAGGCGTGGCTCCCTCTAGGCGGCTTCCCAGCCCCCCTCCCACTGCTTCCCTGAAGGCAACTGGTTTTCGGGGGGAAAGGGGGGTGCTCCGCCTTCGTGCTCTGTGAGGAACAGTCTGTGGACGCTCGAGGCTTCACCAGCTCCTGTCACCCACAGGCAGCTCCTGCACAGGGGCCCGGGTGCTGGCATGAGGTCCTGGCCTGCGACCGATCGTCCAGGGTCTATCGCAGGCCAATGCCACCTGCCCGAGCGGCCCTGAAAGGTGAACTCAGTCTTTCCTCGGTGGGGACCGATCTGGTCATGAATGCTGGACCCGGTTTCGAATCCGTTTGTGGCCAGAATAACACTCCTGTCTCCCCTTGAACCAAACCCACCCACCTGGCTGGCAGCTCAGTGTCCTGCTGGAGCTCGGGCGGGGCTCTGAGGCCTGTCTCTGTCCCAGCGGCATCAAGGTCACCGGTCAACGTGACGGACGGCGCCCGCTCTGCCGCAGCCCGAAACGGGGCACCTGTGAGTGTGCTCAGCGCCAGCAGCCCAGAGGGCGCCGAGGCAGGTACCACAGTCCCGCGACACACTCCTGCAGCTGCCCCGGGGATCCTGCTGTGAACAGAGATACACGGAAGCCCCGCTCGCTGGCCTGCCTCTACCAGGTGAGGAACGCAGAAACCATCCACAAAAATGGTGCTGACACCAGAACCAACACGTCCAGCAGACAACTAACACCTAGGGTAACAGCACTTCCTCTCCTTGAGCACGTGCCACGTGCCACGTGCCACACAGGCCGGACCTCCTCGCAGCTCCCACGCCCACAGGAGCCCCGCCAGGAGGTCCCCTCCCCTCAGTCTGTGAAGACGTAGAGACAGTTCCTGTGACCCCCCCAGCCGTCAGGGTCGGCCCATCCCAGAACTCCACTTCTCATACCCGAGCGAAGTCCACGCCTGGACACGCACCAGAGTGCACACCGCGCAGAGTGTGAGGAGGGGCTGGTCCCTCAAAGCAGGAGGCCCAGGCCTCTCCCCGGCTATGAAGGTGCTGTCCTTCACCCCTAGACGGTGGCCTGGCTTGGTGGCCGGGATTTAAACCGCCACCCAGAGGAAAGGGGCAGATGCACCCCCCCCCCCGGGACCGCCCTAGCCCGCAGAGGACTGTGGGAGGGGAAGCTCCTCGAGAGCAGGGACCCCGACAGTCTCCACGCCTCAGACGGCAACAGCCTTCCAGAACCTTCTGCTGAGCCTAAGTGGTCTGTGAAAACCGTCCCAGAGAAACGGGCAGCACTCCAGGCTGCCTGGCTGCGAGGTGCGGGCAGCGCCCGGCCTTACCTCTGCCAGCTGCCGGGGAAGCACACACAGGCCCCGGGGCACGGGGCTTCCTTGCGAGGGCACCAGCACAACCAGGGGGCTTCAGCAGGCTTTTCTTCAGCCCCGGCTGAAACAGAAGTTAAACGTCATCACGTCCATTATCTATCCATTACTTAATCCTGCGAAAGTAGCTTTAAAATAACGTTTAACAACGTAATAATTATCGTCTCGAATACAGAAGGAAAAGGTCAAGCAGCCCTCTCAACGTTCTCGTGAGCAACGCGGGGTGGCTGAGATGGGCACTGGGGCCCAGCCAGGCCCACTGGTCAGTAGCGGGCCCGCTGCCGGCAGTCTGCACGAGGACACGGCTGCTCAGCCGTGCTGAAAGCAAGCAGCAGCGATGTGGCCGGTCAGTCCCGTGCCTGCGGGGAGCTGAGGTTCAGACGTGGACATCCCATGTCATCCCCACCAGGACCTGGTGAGGGCCTCAGGGAGCAGCTCTGTGCCACACACACTGATGCGAGCGGTGACCCTTCTCCACCCACAGCTCCCGGGGGCAGAGGCCAGGCCCCCGCACGCCAGGCCTGTCCTGTGCATCCCACCAGGCTGCCTCCCAGGGGCCACAATGCCAACCTTCCTAACCCTGGTTTCAGTTCAGAGACACCTCCCACATATACAAAGCTGCCACCTTCTCCTTCGCTCGGCCTCAGCCCACCTGCGGCCCCAGCCCACCTGCAGGCCCAGCCCACCTGCAGGCCCCAGCCCACCTGCGCCCCAGCCCACCTGCGCCCCAGCCCACCTGCACCCCAGCCCACCTGCAGGCCCAGCCCACCTGCACCCCAGCCCACCTGCAGGCCCCAGACCACCTGCACCCCAGCCCACCTGCACCCCAGCCCACCTGCGGCCCCAGCCCACCTGCAGGCCCAGCCCACCTGCAGGCCCCAGCCCACCTACAGGCCCAGCCCACCTGCATCCCAGCCCACCTGCGCCCCAGCCCTCCTGCAGGCCCCAGCCCACCTGCGCCCCAGCCCTCCTGCAGGCCCCAACCCACCTGCGGCCCCAGCCCACCTGCGCCCCAGCCCACGTGTAGGCCCAGCCCACCTGCAGGCCCCAGCCCTCCTGCAGGCCCAGCCCACCTGCAGGCCCCAGCCCACCTACAGGCCCCAGCCCACCTACAGGCCCAGCCCACCTGCATCCCAGCCCACCTGCGCCCCAGCCCTCCTGCAGGCCCCAGCCCACCTGCAGGCCCCAGCCCACCTGCGCCCCAGCCCTCCTGCAGGCCCCAACCCACCTGCGGCCCCAGCCCACCTGCGGCCCCAGCCCATGTGCAGGCCCAGCCCACCTGCGGCCCCAGCCCCTCACCTTGTTTGGAATAGGAAGCGACTGCTTGCCTTGGACCAAGTGGCTTCCGAGGGCTGGCAAGCTGGTGATGTCCTGGGCAGTGCGGGGCTTGTAGTGGGGCACGTTCCTGTGTGATTCCTTTTCATTCAGGATTTTCATCCTGGAAGGACTAGCTGGTTTCTCTTTCATAGGCTGAAAAATTTTAAATTGAAGTGTGAGAACCGCCTGGTCTGTAACCAATACAGACACACCAAGGCTTCACCTCGGAGCAGCCGGGCACCATCAGTCTCCTGAGGTGTGCGGGGTCCCGCCCGTCACCGAGATCGAGGGGGCAACAGGCCACTCGCTCCAGACATGACGACGGTTCTGCCTCCTCATTGAAAACTGGGTAAAGTGACACCGAGACACAGGTCACTAGTCGGAGACAGAGCCCCTAGAGCTGAGTCTGTCAGGACTTTTACTGAAGGAGGATGAGGAAGAGGTCACTCCCTCGCCCAAAGAAGCCACTCGGCGGCCGCGAGTCCCACGGCTGGTCCCGACTGCCACTCTCCATGGCCCGCAGAGCCAAACAAGTCACAAATTCTGACCAGAGGGACAAGGGCTGGCTGAGCTTACAAATAACCCCTGTGACAGAGTTCATAACAAGCCACAGAAGAAGCTCATAAAGTTATGAAGACGAAGCTGTAACTTTATCCTTTACATCACTGAAAAAACTGAGATTCAAGCCCTGGCCGGTTTGGCTCAGCGGTTAGAGCCTCGGCCTGCAGTCCGGAGAGACCTGGGTTCGGTTCCCACTAAGGGCACATACTTCGGTTGCAGTTTGTCCCCGGCCCTGGTTGGTCGTGCGGGTGGCAGCCACTCGATGTGTCCCTTCACATCGATGTTTCTCTCTCTCTCTCCCATTCTATCTGTACAAAAAATGGAAAAATATCCTCGGGTGAGGATAAAAAAAACAAAAAACAAAAAACTGAGATTCAACCTGACACAACATGAAATTCACCACGCGAGGGCACGGCTTCCCTGGCCCCGCCCCACGCGCACCTCCGGGAGCGCAGCTCTGGAGTGGGCTGGCCGAGCCCCAAAGGCAGACCTGTCCACAGCCACTTCCCGGGACAGCTCACTGCTCCACATTTGTGACCAAGCATCCAACCTAAGTCACAGTTAAGGAGGATGACGAATGGCTGTTCCAGGAGGGGGAATTGCCTGTTAATGCGAATAAATCCCTACTGGGTAGAATGTCCAATGTTATACCAAAATCAAAGGGGAAATTTCAACCAGAGTTTCGGAGGAGGTGTCTTTAAGTCATCACATCAGCAAGGTGGCCCTGCCCACGTCCACCCCAAACCCAGCTCCCCGTTACTGTTCTTCCCCTGCTGTGACCCCTGAAGCCGCTCCACCTGCGAGTCCCTCCCGGACAGGTCTCCACTACCGGCGAACCGAGAGGGCTCACGGGAGGGCTCACGCCGCCGGCTCTGCCTACCTCCACGGCCTCACGCGTGCTCTTCCCTCGAGTGGACAGCGCGCGGGGCGGCAGCAACTTGCTCACGACCTTCTTCTGAGTCCCTGCCAGGTTCGGAGGGTGAACGGGACCCGGCTCCACTGGCAGAGAACGAGCAGGGAGCGGCGGCCCCGGCGTCCGGGCGAGGCCAGCCTGGGCAGGAGCGCTGGGCAGGCCCTGGCCCGAGGGGGGCTGCGGCGCCCCCAGGGGGCTGTCCGACAGGTAGTATGTCTCCCTTTTAAGGGAGTTGGGGCTTTTCCTGGTTTTATTTTCTTTCTCGAACAGGTTCATTTTTAACTGTGATTCCTGTATAAACCTCTCCACGTCTTCCTGGCTCACGGCGTCGTGGGGCCCGGCGGCCGGGGCCGCGTGGCTCCTGCAGCTGCTTTCTATCCGCAAGGCCAGCAAGCGGGCCTCCTTGTAGACCTCCACGAACTGCTCCCCGGGGACGGGGCTCCAGCGCAAGGGGCTTCCCGGCGCCGGCGAAGGAGGCTCTGCGGGGCGCTGACTGCCTAATTCTAAACTGGCAGCAATGCACCTCTCCTTGTGCCCGACAGGTCCGAAGAACACCTCGTCGTCTTCGTTCGCACTATTTTAAAAGAAAAGGGTTATAGCCCTGGCCAGTTTGGCTCAGCGGTTAGAGCGTCGGCCTGCGGTCCGGAGAGACCCGGGTTCGGTTCCCGCTAAGGGCATGTACTTCGGTTGCAGTTTGTCCCCGGCCCTGGTTGGTCGTGCGGGTGGCAGCCACTCGATGTGTCCCTTCACATCGATGTTTCTCTCTCTCTCCCTTCCTCTCTCTCCCTCCCACTCTGTCTGTACAAAAAATGGGAAAATATCCTCGGGTGAGGATAAAAAAAAAAAAAAAAGGGTTATTAATGACACTGGCATTTAAATGGAGGGTTTTACTGAATGTGGCTGTCAGGCAGGAGAAGAAAACTCATTTACCTTACAGAAGACAGTGAAAGATCGAAGTCAAATTTTTCATCGGCCAAAAGAAGAATTTCTGGGGAGAAAAAAATCTGCTGTTATTTTAGGGCTAGGGCTGATAAACAGAAAAACTCACCAATTTCTATCACTTTTAAAACTATTCTGAAATTTCATTTCCCAAAGTGTAACTTAGTGTTATTTTATTTTTTTAAATCCTCGCCCAAGGATATTTTTACATTTATCATCAGATAGAGCAGGAGGGAGGGAGGGAGGAAGAGAGAGAAACATCGACATGAGAGGGACACATCGACTGGTCGCCTCCCAAACGACCCGACCAGGGCTGGGGATGAACCACAACCAAGGTACGTGCCCTTGACCAGAATCGAACCCACAACTCTTTTCTTTTTTTTGTAATCCTCACCGAGGACATTTTTCCATTTTTTTTGTTCAGATAGTGGGAGGGAGAGAGAGGAAGAGAGAGAGAAACATCGACATGAAAGGGACACATCAAGTGGCTGCCACCTGCACGACCAACCAGGGCTGGGGACAAACTGCAACCAAGGTACACGCCCTTAGCAGGAACCGAACCCGGGTCTCTCTGGACCACAGGCCGACGCTCTAACCACTGAGCAACCGGCCAGGGCCTTACTGTTATTTTAACAGTCACATTTTCGTAGGGGATCTTAGGTTTTCCATTTATTTTCCTTTTAAAATAGCATCAGCTATTCAGTGTTTGTCAAGCCGTTCCAAAAGCCCAAGCATGATTTTAAGACATAACCTAAAATGCATTCGCCCTCCAGACTAGCTAAGTCACCTTCAGGTGCAGAACCTTTTCAAATAAATTCCCTGCTCACACACTACAAAACAGCTGTTCCCCTTTCAAACACAAATTCAGCATCATTCAAAGGCACAGTAGGGACTCCCTACGTGACGCATGTGTTGACTGTAGCCTCTTCTTGCAGCTCACCTGGATCCCAGGTACAGCTGCACCTTGTGCCCACGCACACTCCCACCTCAGTGCCTGCACCAGCCTGTCTGTTCACACGCCTGACTCCCTCTAACCGACCACAGGCTCTGGGTTAGGGGTCCCTCTGCTGGGGGGCTCCCTCCTCCCGCTCCTGTTCCCGCTGCACCCTGGCCCTCCCTGGGGCTCCCGCAGCACCTGGACCCGACCCCCAGCACTGCACTAGTCTCGTTAGTCTTTAAATGTCTCCTGACGCTCCTGTGGCCCCAACCAGACTGTAAGCTCCTCCAAGACAACCAACGTCCGTCTAACTCTCCCAAATTCCCCAAGGTCCAGTTAAGGGCCCGAACACTTAGCAAATAGTTATCAAAATGCACTGAACTGGCCCTGATCGATTTGGCTCAGCGGTTAGAGCATTGGCCCGCGGACCAGAGAGTCCCGGGTTCAGTTCCCACTAAGGACACGTACCTCGGTTGCAGTTTTTCCCCGGCCCCAGTTGGGGTCATGTGGGTGGCAACCACTCGATGTGTCTCTCTCATGTCGATGTTTCTCTCTCTCTTTCTCCCTCTCTCCCTCCTGCTCTGTCTGAAGATGAATGCAAAAATGTCTTTGGGTGAGGATTAAAAAGAAAACAAAAACCACTGAGCCCTGGCTGGTTTGGCTCAGCGGTTGGAGGGTCAGCCTGTAGACCAGAGAGTCTTAGGTTAAGTTCCCGCTAGGGTCACGTACCAAAAAAAAAAAAAAAAAATCCACTGAATATTGCAATAAAGTTTATACAGGATTTCACAAAACATATCTTATTTGATCCTAATAAACAAAGCAGTATGCTTAGCAAAACCATAAAATCTAAACCTAAAAACTTGACTGAAATGGATAACTGTCTAGAAAATATAACTTATTTTTATTTTTTCTTCAATCCTCACCTGAGGATACATTTTACTGATCTTAGGGAGAGAGGAAGGGGGTGGGGGAGAAACATCGATGTGAGACAGAAACACCAATCAGATGCCTCCCATACGTGCCCCAATGGGGGGCTCAAACCCGCAACCCAGGTAGGTGCCCCGATCAGAATAGAACCCAACCTTCTTGGTGCATGAGGCGATGCTACAACCAACTGAGCCACCCAGCTGGGGCTAGAATTCATTTTTTATATTTAAATAATTTAAATTGATTTTCAAAAAATAAAACTGACCCCAGGAGAGAGAAAAGTAGCTTAATATTTCAATTTTTATAAACTAACTGGACACATTTATTAGAGCCATTCTCCCCCCAAAAGCAGAGCGTTTCATAGGCTGATTCTATCAAATCTGTAAAGATATATAATTCCAAAACTATTTAACTGCTCCAAAGGGCAGAGAAAAGAAACCTTCCAACTCACTTCCGCAGAGCGCGCAGAACCACAGCCAAGCCCACGGCCGGCTCGGCAGGGAAGCTCCAGACCCGCCTCAGCCGACGGAAGACCCCGAGCAGGGGCGCGAGCGAACCGAACCCAGCAACATGTTGAAAGAGCAGACACGGGCCCTGGCTGGTTTGGCTCAGCGGAAAGAGCAGACACGGCCAGGTGAGGCCGCCCAGGACTGCAGGCGGCGTAGTCGTCCACAACCGAGCCACGCGCCCCTTGTACCACTGGACCTACAGCCCACAGCCGGCTCCACACGCGCCGAGGCGCACGATGGATGCAGACACGCGCTGACTCCGAGAGCTCTCCACGAAAGGGAACAGGCATGTCGCTCACCCACAGCCAGGACGAGGTGTGACGGATGCCATCAGAAGCACACATCTGATCGGTTAGGACGGGCTAACTGATGCTGAGGTGACAAGGAAGCTGCACCTCTCAAACCCTCTGCCTGCTGCGGGGAGCTGGCCCTGCCCCAGGTCCTCCTGCTCCAGAACCCGGCTGCTGGAGCCTCCGCCATCGGGAACCTGCCGGTCTCCGTGGCAGAGGAAAGGGGAGACAGAAGATTCCACACTGGCTCTTAAAGACCCACAAGAGACTCTTATTTGAACATTGCCATTTCAGTGGCCGCCATTTAAGTCACCTGAGCCAAACTCAACTTCACGTGGGCAGGACATGCAACTCCATCATGTGCCCGGGAGGGAACCAGAGGAGCCGACGAGCACCCGGGAGGGGACCGCGGAGGAGCCGACGATGAGCACCCGGGAGGGGACCGCGGAGGAGCCGATGAGCACCCGGAGGGAACCGCGGGGGTGCCGATGAGCACCCGGGAGGGGAACCAGAGGAGCCGATGAGCACCCGGGAGGGGACCACGGAGGAGCCGATGAGCACCCGGGAGGGAACCGCGGAGGAGCCGATGAGCACCCGGGAGGGAACCGCGGAGGAGCCGACGATGAGCACCCGGGAGGGAACCGCGGAGGAGCCGATGAGCACCCGGAGGGAACCGCGGAGGAGCCGATGAGCACCCGGAGGGAACCGCGGAGGAGCCGACGATGAGCACCCGGGAGGGAACCGCGGAGGAGCCGACGATGAGCACCCGGGAGGGAACCGCGGAGGAGCCGACGATGAGCACCCGGGAGGGAACCGCGGAGGAGCCGATGAGCACCCGGGAGGGAACCGCGGAGGAGCCGATGAGCACCCGGAGGGAACCGCGGAGGAGCCGACGATGAGCACCCGGGAGGGAACCGCGGAGGAGCCGACGATGAGCACCCGGGAGGGAACCGCGGAGGAGCCGATGAGCACCCGGGAGGGAAACCGCGGAGGAGCCGATTGAGCACCCGGGAGGGAACCGCGGAGGAGCCGATGAGCACCCGGGAGGGAACCGCGGAGGAGCCGACGATGAGCACCCGGGAGGGAACCGCGGAGGAGCCGATGAGCACCCGGGAGGGAACCGCGGAGGAGCCGATGAGCACCCGGAGGGAACCGCGGAGGAGCCGATGAGCACCCGGAGGAACCGCGGAGGTAGCGACGATGAGCACCGGGAGGGGACCGCGGAGGCGCCGATGAGCACCCGGGAGGGAACCGCGGAGGCGCCGATGAGCACCCGGGAGGGAACCGCGGAGGAGCCGATGAGCACCCGGGAGGGAACCGCGGAGGAGCCGATGAGCACCCGGAGGGAACCGCGGAGGAGCCGATGAGCACCCGGAGGGAACCGCGGAGGAGCCGATGAGCACCCGGAGGGAACCGCGGAGGAGCCGATGAGCACCCGGGAGGGAACCGCGGAGGAGCCGACGATGAGCACCCGGGAGGGGACCGCGGAGGAGCCGATGAGCACCCGGAGGGAACCGCGGGGGTGCCGATGAGCACCCGGGAGGGAACCGCGGAGGAGCCGATGAGCACCCGGAGGGAACCGCGGAGGAGCCGACGATGAGCACCCGGGAGGGAACCGCGGAGGAGCCGATGAGCACCCGGGAGGGAAGGTGCCGATGAGCAGCACTGAGGACTACCATCTACGTGCAAATCAACCCACAGGCCAGCAGGAGGCTGAATGGAAAACTAAAGAAATTCCATTAAAGCTGGGCGCATGGCTATGCCGTCTACTGTCAACACAACCCAACATGTTCTATTAGGCACTGACCAACACAGCTACACTCAGAAAAGAACTCGAGGTGTCATCGTAGCGAACAGATGCTTTAATTATAGACACAAGAAAAATATCAAGAAAATCAATGGAGAACTATTACAAGTAGTAAAAGGATAAAAGCAGATGGCTAAGGACACAACTATTATACAATAATTATTGTTTCAAAGCAATCGATGGCTTTCAGATCTACAAGACAATACATGGAAGACAAGACGTCATCTACAGTAGCAGCAAAAAATACAGAATACCTATGAACAAACCTAACATGAACTATACAAGAGGAACAGAAATATTATTTAATATGTCATAGAAAGTAACATATCGAACAATATGGGAAAATGAATTACTCAGTAAATGTTATTGAGATAAACTAGATAACTCTTTGTGGAAAACATATATATATATATATATATATATATATATATATATATACACACACACACACACACATATATATATAGTTTGACCCATATCTCATACCACCCCAGGACAAATTCCAAATAAACCACAGACATAATTTTGAAAAATGAAGCTCTCAAAGAACAGTAAACCATGGGGAAATTACTTTGTAACCTGTGGAGGTCTGTGACGCCCATTGGAAGCCATAAAATAAAGGTTGATAGTCCAATATGTTAAAAAATTTTAAATCTCTGCCTGGCAAAAACTACCATGAGCAAAGTTAAAAGCAACAATAAACAGGAAAAAGCCCATTTGCAGCTCACATCACAAAGGGCTAACTCATGAACAGTACCTACAAATTGCTAAGAAAACAATGAACAATGTAATGGAGGATCGACAAAACATATGAACAGATAAAATTCTTGGAAAATAGCCCAGCTGGTGTGGCCCAGTGGTTGAGCGTCAACCCATGCACCAAGAGGTCACCGGTTCGATTCCCGGTCAGGGTACATGCCCAGGCTGTGGGCCCAGTCCTCAGTGGGGGGCATGCAGGAGGCGGCCAATCGATGTTTCTATCTCTCTCCCCCTCCCTTCCCCTCTCTCTAAAGTCAATAAATAAAAAAGAAAAAATTCTCGAAAAATAAAACCAAGTGTTCTTTTTATTCCCCTCTTGGGTTTTTATTGGTTTTTTTTTTTTTTTAGAGAGAAAGAGAGAAACATCCATTGGCTTCCTCTTACATGCCCCCTACTGGGGATGGAAGCCGCAACCTGGGCCTCTCAGCCCATGGGACGACACTCAATCCACTGAGCCACACTGGCTGGGCAAAATAAAATGTTCTTAAACCTATGTCGAGAAGTTCAGCTTTGCCGGCCGGTGTGGCTCAGTAGTTAGACTGCTGGCCCACGCACCAAAGGGTCTCGAGTTTGATTTGCGGTCAAGGACACGCTCCTGGGTTGCAGGTTCATCCCTGGCCCCAGTTGGGGTTCGTGCAGGAGGCAACCAAACAGATGTGTCTCTCTCACATCAATGTTTCTCTCTGTCTCTGTCTCTCTCCCTCCCTCCCTTTCACTCTCTAAAATTCAATGGAAAATATATCCTCAGGTGAGGAGTAACAACAAAGTTCAGCCTCACTCAAAACTAAGAATAATGAAGAATAAACTTAGCATGAGGTTCCACTTTGCACCTATCAGACTGTTAAAAATTAGTCAGATAAAATGTAGGCAAGGCAACTGGGCAGCACCTCCCAAAATAAATGTGCATGCCCTCTGGCCCAGCAAGCCTGCTTCTGTGAATGTATCCTGCAGAGAGTCACAATGTTATTTGTTGCAGCAGAATTGGCAACAATAGCACATTGGACAAGAAAACGTTCACCCACAGCAGATGAGATCAGTTACAGTATAACCCGTGGCAGAACTATTTAGTCGCACAAGCTGCACACACACACACACACACACACACACACAAAACAGTAACACTTCTTATGTTGCCATACAAGATAAGATCAAGTCAGCGTATAAAGAATGGGAAGCAGGACAGGGCTGTGTGCTATAAAGAGGGAGGTGCTGTAAGAATTGGGGAACCGATTGACCGGTGCACACACTGGCTTGCCCCTGCACAGATTAGATCTGGAGGAACACCCAAGAGACCAATGACACTCTGGATTTAGGAGGGAGAAACTGGGTGGCTGAGGGAAAGAAATGAGAGACATTTCACTTTTTACATGCCTGAACCTAGGAAGTCAACTGTATAGGTCACTTCTAGAAACTTCCAATTGTTTGCTATGGAAAAGCGAACCCCAGACCAGGAGTCAGGGAAGAAGCCTACAGCGGGCACCGTACAGCTGGCACCGAGTGACGCTGGGCAGGCTGACTCATTCCTTCTGCAAATAGCCTCGTTCTCCAGCAGGCGCGGGACTGCACTGTCCAGTGGAAACAGAGTGAAAGGCAGTAAAAAGGGTCCTTCCAGGAACTGGTCAGGCCAAAGTGGCTGGAGGGGTGGACACACAGGTAGGCCAGGTCCCGAAGGGTCTGCAAGCCACCACAGGGAGCTTTTATTTTGTTGAGTGCAAGAGGGAGCTATCAAAGGGCTTTAAGCAGGAGAGTGGTGGGATCTAACTAGTGTTTTTCAAAGGGTCCCCTGGCTGCTGTGTAGAGTAGGTCAGAAAGGAAACAGCAGGATCTACTGGGATTGCAAATGCACGCACTGGCCAAGATGCAAATGTACAAGCAGGCAGAGGTGAGTCAATGTGGCTGAGACCCAGGAGGTGCCATTTGGGTGGAGTTGAAAAGGGGTAGATGGATCCCAATATATTCTGAGGTGGAAATGACAGTAATTGATGATTGGATGGATGTGGCGGCTTCACAGCTTGGCTAGCTAGGTGAACAGAGGGGCCATCTACTTACACGAGAAAGACAAAGAACAGGCCAAGACGGGGCGGGGTATGTGTGTCAAGTTTGAGGTGCCAAACAGGCAGGTGTGTGTACAAGTCCAGAGCTCAGAGAGGCTGTGCTCAAGGCCACAGGTGGGCACCGCCGGAAAGGAAATGAGGTGTAAAGCCATGGGGATGTCTGAGAGCCCCCGTGGGAAGCACAGACACATCCTGGACTGGGCAGGTCCTGGGGAATCAGCTGGGGAAGATGATAATGGAAGAGGACTGTGCAGAGATGGGGATACACCTGCTAGAGAGGCAGAAGCAAAACCAAGATGCCTTGGAAGCCAAGCAAGGGAAGACTGCAGAAGGAGAGAAGGTCAGATGTTACGGAGAGGTTGCTTAACAAGGACAGAAAAGTGACGGCACTTGTGGCAACAAAGATGTCCTGACCGATGACAGCAGCTTGAGTGGAGGTACAAGGGCAGGAGGGGTTGGTCAGGGTTGAGGGATATGAAAAAATAGCAAAACAAGTAGAGAAAGTTCTCGAAGTCTCGCTCTAAACGAGGCACACGCGGCAGGGGAGAGGCGGTGGGGACAAGAAAGGAGTGTGTCTGTATGTCAGCCTGAGCTCAGGGACAGGCAGAAGCAAGCGTGCGAGGGAGGGTGTCAGAGGGCTGAGGTCCTCAAGAGAGGCAGGGGGATTCAGCACACTTGTGGAAGGGATGCAACGGGACGGGAGGGGTGTGGCAAGAAATACCTTCCCCTGCAGCTGAAGAATCCATGAGGGCTGGCAGAGGCGCTGGGGCGGTTTCTGCCAAGTGGAGGTGGTAAGGACACTTGGCTACCCAGTCTACCTGCCTCGCGTGGGTGTTGAGGAACAAAGGACAAAAGGACCTCAACGTGCTTTTAGCTCATCTTGTGAGGCTGCACTCCCACCTGGACACTCGCACCTGACCCGGACTGAACAAGACAGCAAAGTCACAGCCAGGCTCGCTCAGTAACACGGTCGCGAAGACCCTCGACAGGTGTTAGGAGCCGGGAACCGGCAACCTGAGCGCCTGCGAGGCGCCAGGCGGTGCGCGGGCAGCGGGGATGCTGCAGCAGAGGCAAGCGGCCAGAATCCCTTTAGGGCGCCGAGGGGGACGGAGAAAACTGAACAGGAAGAAAGGAGGCGGACGCAAAGCCCGTGGAGACGGGCACCGCGGGCCCACGGCACAGAGCGCAGGGCGCGCCCGAGGAAGTCACCGAATCTGCGCCGAGCGCCCCGCGCGGGCGCCGCGGCGGCGGGACGTACCGTCCTTCCCGGGTCCCTCCATCTCCGCTCGTCCGGCCGGGCTGGCTGGGGCACGCCGGGGACCCGCCTCCTTCCGGGCCGAGCTGTCCGGGGCTCACTGCGGGGAGGGGGCAGAGGTGAGCAGGGAGCAGAGCCGGGCCCGGTTCCTCTGCCGCGGCCCGACGGACAGCGAGCTGGCGCCTGCAGCCGGAGGCCCCTGGGGTGCAGCTGAGACCCCCCGCGACGCACCCCCGGGGCCGCGCTCCTCCGGGCCTGGACGCCCCGGACGGCGGCAACGGAATTCCCAGCTCTCGGGCGGGGCTGCTGGGGGCTTTGGTTTGCCGAAGTCCCCACGGAGCATGCGCGGGGACCCCACCGCCCCCAGCCCAAGCCCACCCAGAGCCCTCACCCCTACCGGCTGCGACGCCCCGGCCGACACACCTCCGCCCGGATTTAAACACAGCGCGGCGGAAGCGGCAAGGGTTGCGATTGGCCAGTTTGAAAAGGGCTCTGCAAGGTCGCCGTGCCCGGTGCATCCTGGGGGATGTAGTCCGCGCGCCTGGACGCGTGGCTGGCGCGCGTGCGCACTGCCTCCCCGCGCGGATGGGCTGCGCAGGCGCGAGGTCTGTGCGGGCCAGGGCGGGGTTCCTTAGATTCCCCTCTGTGTGTACCTGCAGCCTTAGCAGCGGGGTCTCTGCCTGTGGCCAGGGACGCGGTTCTGATCCCCGCTCTTATCTGCAAAGAGTGAACATTAATTCCTATGGTTGGGGGTGGGGGGGTTATGAAGACCAGACGAGATAGGTGCGTCTACCTGCTTCGTGAAGCAGTAAGAGGCCCGGTCCCTGTCCCGAGGAGCGCACAGGTGGTGCTCGGTGACCAGACACGCCGGGTCGTGCCTTTGGGTGTAAGAAACAGAAAAGCAGCTTCACACTGGCTTTAGAAAGGGAATCTATTGGCCCAAGGAACAGGGAAGCCCAGGAGTGGGTTGGGCCATCTCCGGCCGCTCTGGGGTCCTGCTCACCCTTAGGCAGGCCGCTTTGTCAGGCCCACCAGCCGGGAGCTCCAGGCTTCGCTCTGCCTGCCAGGGCCTCCTGTTTGGTGCTGCTATTTAATCTACGGTCCCAAGAACCAGGCTTGCCTGACTGGTGACCATGGGACAACTGGCAGCAGTCCAGTAGGTCCCAGACTCGGACTCTTGGCCTCAGTGTCAGATTCCCTCAGCGCTGCTGGGGGCAAGGGTCCCCAACACCCATTCCCGACGCTTCTCTTCCTGTGTCGTGTCAGCACGTAGTAGGTGCTCAGCAAACAGCACCAGTTGTTAATAACTTGCTGCAAACTCTAAACATTATCTTCACTCCATCCAGTGCTTGGCCGCCTCCTCTCTTTTACCATTGGCCTATCATCGATTCTTCCTTCCCCGGTAGGGTTCTGCTTCATGCATTTTTTTTTTTTTTTATCCTCACCTGAGGACATTTTTCCATTTTTTTGTTCAGATAGTGTGGGAGGGAGAGAAATATTGACGTGAAAGGGACACATCGAGTGGCTGCCACCCACATGACCAACGAGGGCCGGGGACAAACTGCAACCGAGGTACGCGCCTTTAGTGGGAACCGAACCCGGGTCTCTCTGGACCGCGGGCCGACGCTCTAACAGCTGAGCAAACCGGCCAGGGCTGCTTCATGCATTTATGCGTGCATTTGTGAGTCTGATCGACATACACTGGCAGACACTCGGCACAGGCCATGTGCTGGTGACACTGAGACTTGACAGATGCTGCCACACACCTGAGGAGGTCACAGCCGGGGAGAAAGGTGCAGTAACCAGGCAGGTGCCCAGGGCTGAGGAGGCACTCTTACCAGCCTGCAGTGGGCGACTGGAGGGCTTCCCAGAGGAGGGACCAGGGTTCCTGCTTCCCTGGCCAAGTTGTGTCTTGCTTGGAGCCAGGAGAGGGGAGGGGAGATGGTGTGAGCAGGCTGTCAGGGGAACTGGCAGAAGGGGACAGCTCAGGATGGAGGGCAGGCTCCTTCTAAGGGTGAGTCCCTATCTCCTGGGTAGAGACTGCACCTCTTTCAAAATCCTAAGTTAACCATTTTCTTGACTCCATGCCCCACGCCCCACCCCCAATCCCCCAAGTTCAAGGAGAAGCCTGTTTCCCCAGGACACAGCCCAGCAACTTGAGAAACATTCCTGGGGTGGGATCCCCCTCACACAGCACAGCTGAGTGGGCACAGACACCTGTGTCCTGCTCAGGAGGGGCCTGGGGCCCAGACAGTGCTGATAAACTGGTTCAGGTCCTGTTGGAGCCACATGTCACCATGCTTTGGTTTTAACCACAACAGGGCCACCCGAGCTCAACCTCACGCCCCAGAAAGCAAGCCAGCTCAATGCGCTGCATTTGTCTGACCGAAGTCACAGCTGACAGCGGACACCATGTACTGAGGCCCCTTCCCAACATGCAGTTTATTTTTTATTTTTTTATCCTCACCCGAGGATATTTTTCTATTTTTTGTACAGATAGAGTGGGAGGGAGAGAGAGGAAGGGAGAGAGAGAGAGAAACATCGACGTGAAGGGACACATCGAGTGGCTGCCACCGCACGACCAACCAGGGCTGGGGACAAACTGCAACCGAAGTACGTGCCCTTAGCGGGAACCGAACCTGGGTCTCTCTGGACCACAGGCTGACGCTCTAACCGCTGAGCCAAACCGGCCAGGGCCCGACGTGCAGTTTAGAATAAAGAGAAAACAGACCCAAACCAGTGTCAGCAAACCCCCCGGGAAGCTGGCAGAGGCGGCAGAGGGCACCCATGGGCGCGTGCTTTCGTGAGGAGGGCAGGCATGGGTGCAGCAGCTGAGATGTCCCCTCAGCCAGGACAGGGGCCTGAGGTGCCTCAGCAGGGCCTCCACTAGCTGCAGCCTAGGCAAGTCACTGCCCCCCTCTGGTTCCTCACCCCCAGATGGACAACAGAACCTGCGTGGAAGAGGATGTGAAGACGAGGGTTTATCCCAAGGGCAGCCTGGGGTGGGGGTGCCCCAGGAGCTGTGCAGACTCCTCCCCAGCTGAGCCGCCCCACCTCACCCCCGTTTCCGACCCTTGAACAACCAGGAGGCGCAGGCTCCCCTGGGAAAATACAATTTGCACGGCCAGTGGTCACAGCAGCACCCACGCTGACCCTTGACCAGAATAAGAAGATTCTGAACCATGTTTACACAGATGTGCATCCCCTCCCATAACGCTGCTGGTCACAGGCTTCCTGTTCACCGCTGCAGACGCCCCTTAGCCGGTGTCTCCTAAGCCCGGGAAGCCTGGGCAGCTGCCCTGGCACGAGGGCGGCAGGCACAGCTCACTGCAGGAGGTGGACAGTGGCCGCCTTGCGGAGGAGCCGCTCCGTCAGGGGCGAGTGGGGCTTCAGGGCGTCTCGCTCCATCAGCAGGCTTCTGTGGAAACAGAGACAGGGTCTGTGGCCGAACCTCCGAGCCCGGGGCCCAGCGCTCAGTCAGCCCTGAGGCAGGGCACAGGCAGCTGGGGCTGCGGCTGAGGTGGTCAGACAGGTTGCTGGGGAGGGGACAGCAGGCTGGACAAGGCCTTGGCAGGGGACCATGGAGAAGGTGGGAGGTGGGAGATGAGGAAGGGGGAACGGCAGAGCCAGTGTCCTTGAGCAGGTGCAGGAGTGTCATGGGGCATTGGTGTTTGGAGAGCATTCTCACACTGTCCCCATGACGCCTCCAGGGACGTGAATTTCAGGGTGAACGCACACTGGCCCTGGCTGCTCAGGAACGTAGGGACTGGGGATGAGAGGGTGTTGGGTGGGGGAGCCATGCTTGAGACTGTTCTGGGAAAAGTGAGTGGCAGAAGAGAAGGTGGATTTAAAAAACATTTAAAAAATATGTTTTTATTGATTTTTTAGAGAAAGAGGAATGGAGAGAGATACAGAAACATCGATGTGAGAAACACTGATTGGCTGCCTCTTGCGCGCCCCCTACTGGGGACGAGCCCACAACCCAGGCATGTGTCCTGACCGGGAATTGAACTGGGACCTCTCAGTCCATGGGACTTCACTCAACCACCAGCGACACTGGCCAGGGGAGATGGTGGATATTTATAGCATCATTTGCAGGCCATACAAAAGTATCAATTTAAAAATCAGCCTGCTTGCCCTGGCCAGTTTGGCTCAGCAGTTAGAGTGTTTGCCCGAAGACCAATGAGTCACGAGTTCAATTCCGGTCAAGGGCACGTACCTCGGTTGCGATTCATCCCTGGCCCTGGTCGGGTAGTGCAGGAGGCAGCTACTCGATGTGTCCCTTTCACGTCGATGTTTCTCTCTCTCTCTTCCTCTCCCTCCCACTCTATCTGAACAAAAATGGAAAAATGTCCTCGGGTGAGGATAAAAAACTAAAAAATAGCCTGCTCTATCTGGTCAGGCCTATTTGGTGAGCGGTGTGATGTCAGCTGTTCTGATTTCTTGGGCCTCAGGTGGCCCTCAGACTGGACGTTCCCCATCCCTGCTGTACCCCAAAAGGTGGCAGGTTCGAGTCCCAGTCAGGATACATGCCCAGGTTCCAGGTTTGGTCCCCAGTCAGGGCACGTGCAGGAGGCAGCCAATCAGCGTTTCTCCCTCACATAGATGTTGGTCTCTCTCTTTCCCTCTCTAAGATAAATTTTAAAACATTAATTCGTAGCAAACGGAATTTAAAGAAAGCAAGCACTGGTACCATTCAGGGCGGAGACCCCAAACAACTCACCACTGCTTCTGTGGGGTGAGGGTGGGGTCGAGGGGCATGGGGGCTGGGCCTGGCACTCAGCGTGGGGACCCCAGAGCAGGGGGCTGAGCGTTTCTCACCCAGGGAACTGAGCTGATGGCCACACAGGTGGGTGTCCTTGGAGGGGGTGCACTTGCCACCCTGGCTTGTTTGCCCCCAGCAGCCCCAGGGGCAGATGCCCCGCTGTGCAGCATACTCCACAGCATGGCCCAATTGCCCCGCCCCAGCTCCCCTGCGGCAGCCCTCAGCCTTCAGCCCCTGCTCTGCCCTGATGGCCCACCCTCCCGCCCAGCGACCACCGGAGGCACCTGGAGCTGCTAAAGAAACACGTGGTTTTGCCTGTGGCCCCGGAGCAGGAGCACGGGCGTGCGGGCACTGCAGCCTCTGCCCGCCAGCGAGCCCACACCTGCTTGGCCTGCGCTGCTCAGCGGGCAACCGCTGCCTGCAGCTGGGTCCCGTCCACTGCGCCAGACCCAGCCAAGGGCCTCCCAGGCCCCAGGGGGCCGTCCTGGCGGCTTCGCTGCAGCCCTTCTGCCCACTGGGCACCCTTCCACTCCTTCCTTTCCTCTTGCCCTTGGTGTTCCGGGCAAGGAGGGGGCTCACCTCGGCCAGGAACAGGGGCTGGTGCAGGAGGCAGCAAAGAGCTCAGCAGCCACATGAGGCTGAGCTGGGGTGTGACAGCACCGACCCAGGTCTCCGGCCATGCCCCTCAGCCCTCCAGCCCTGTCCCAACCAGATCACCCTGGTCTGGTTGAGTCCCCTTGGTTCAGGCCTCCCTCCGCTATCACTTCCATGGGGCACCCTCCCGCGCTGACTCCCTGCCTGCCCACCACGCCTCCTGGCACCCAGCACAGTCAGGCAGGAGAATGTGAACAGAGGCCTGGAGGATTGGCAGAGGGCAGCCAGGTGGCAAAGGAGAACGGGTGTCCAAGGCCTCGGCGGGCACAGCACGTGCAAAGGCCCAGGGGCCTGGAAAAGCAGGACTTGTCTGGGTGACGGGCTCAGCATGGCTAGGACGAGGAGGGGGCTGGTCCTCTCTGGTCAAGTTGAGCATGGCAACAAGGGAGAACCAAGCACCCCCATAGCCCTGCGTCTTCATAACCTCAAAGGTGGGAACCACCTCAGACCCAGCGAGCCATGGGGAGACCCTCGTGTGAGAGCGATGACCCGAGAGCCCTGCCCAAGCCCGGCGTGGGGGTGTGAGCGGGAACTCACCGGGCCACGTGCTTGTGGGCACCAGAGGTGCACTTCAGGGCCGCGTGAATCAGCAGCTGGTTGAAGACGTCTCTCTGAAGGGGGGAGTGGGCAGGTGACCCCGGGATGTGGGAGGAGGGATGGGACCACCCCCACCCCTGTTCTCAGGGACAAACGCCTGGGGCTGGGACGCTGAGGACACCCCACACCGTGGGCACAGTACCCGGAGAAGGGGCTGCAGGCATAGGGGCTCCTGGACGGGGCCCTGGTGCCCCAGCAGCTGGCGGCTCGAGGCTCACCTGGGCATTGCTGCCCCCGATCTGGGTGACCCGGTAGCGGATGGGCAGGAGGAGTTCCACCACGCGGTCGGCGTTCCCGTTCTCGGCCTCCACCAGGGCCTGGCACAGGGGCAGCCCCACGTCGCGGGCCAGGAGGTGCTGGCAGTTCTCCCCGGGGGACCTACCAGCCCGAGAAGGTGCCCTCAGTGGCCTGCCCATCACTGCCCGGCTGTTTCCCCACCTGCTCAGCCGGTGTCCTGGCCCATGCCTGACACACAGTAGGAGCTTTGATCAGATGAGCTGACAGAGAAGCAGCCGGGAGGGGGAGACAGGGCTCTAAACTCAGTTCTACAGGGTTGAACTTCAGCCTCCTAGAGACCTGACTGGGCTGGTACCTCGTCTCTGGCCTCAGTTTGCCCATCTGTGAAGTGGGAGGAGCCGTCCTGAGCTCCCAGGCTGTCAGGACTGCGTGCAGTGCCCACAAAGGAAGGCCAGGCTCGGACACACGCCGACACCAGGCGTGGGCAGCTGTGGCCACCGTGTCCCCACTGGCCTGCGCCTGCCTGCTCCAGGCCCACCTCAGAAGCAAGAATCAGCCCTGGCCAGCGTGTCTCAGCAGTTAGAGCGTCGGCCTGCAGACCAAAGGGTCACAGGTTCGATTCCCGGTGAAGGGCACGTACCTGGGTTGCAGGTTCAATACCAGACCCTGGTCGGGGTCGTGCAGGAGGCAACTGATCAATGTGTCTCTCTCACATCGATGTTTCTCTCTCTCTCCCTCCCTACCTCTCTCTCTAAAAATCAAGGAAGAAATATCCTTGAGTGAGGATTAACAGCAACCAAACAGCAGGAGTCTGATGCTCGGCCTCCCCTGTGGTAAAGTGACAGTCCCCTGGCACTGAACACCCCGCGGGCACCAGGGGCAGGGCACGCGGCATGCTGGTAGCCAGCTTGAGCGGTGACATCGGTCACCTTCCACCAGGCCTCAGGGTAAACCACAGGGGTCACGCCCCCAGAGGCTGGAGCCTCCAGGGAGGAGACCAGTGGGGCGGCATCTCTGGGCCGCTGTGGGGGACCTGCCGCCCAGAGTCCTCTGCCTCCCCTGTGATGGGAAGAGCCCCCACCAGTGCCAGGACCCTGCCTACCAGCCGGCTCGCTGCCCTGCGGCCTCAGCAGGCACTGCCCTTGGCTTGCACGTGAGGGAACCGGCTCAGAGCGAGAGTGTTTGTCTGGGATCCGAGACCTTGTCAGCAGCGGGTCTCTGGTTCTGGGACCCACCATGTCCCCTGGGGGAGGCTGCCCCTGGGACATGGAGGCTCTCACATCCACCCTGGGGATGGAGAGGCAACTCTGTCCTGGGAGGAACCACGGCACCTTGCAGGGTACACCCACCAGGGGTGCCTATCTGGAGGGTGGAGTGTGCACACCTCCACGGGCATCTCCAAGGCTGTGCCCACCCGTGGGCCCCGTTCCCGGCCTCCCTGGCAGCAGAGGCTTCCGGAACCCTGGCCCCTCGGCATACTCGCTGACATCCTGCAGGGTGGTCAGCAGCTCCTGCGTGGTCCGGGTGTCCCGAGCGCCCAGGGATGCCATCAGAAAGTGAGCATCGTTGAACAGCAGGACGTGGTCACAGCTGTGCTTCCGGGTCACCGGCAGGACATCCTGCCACCGCTCGCCCACAGACACCCCTGAGGACATGGGGAGGAAACGCACCGCATGGTGGCAGGCTCCTGCACTGGGCCTCTGCGCCCGCCCCCCAAGGAGGCCCCTGGTCCTGTGCAGGCGAGGGGGGTGCAGGGGAGCAAGGCAGCAGCGTCGGGCCTCGCGCTGAGGCCTTGGCCCAGTTCACGTTACCTTCGTCCAGTTATACAAGCGATGAATGCACAAGCAGAGAACTAATTTAAAAAGCTATTGGAGTGTTTTAAGTAGTCTCCGGCCCCTTTAACGAATCCCCAAACCACTTTTTAAATTCTTCCCGCGCCGCCTGGGCAGGCGTCGTCCTGCACACTGAAGGGTCACGGGTTCGATTCCTGGTCGAGGGCCTGCAGGTTTGACCCCCAGCCCCACATCAGTGTCTCTCTCTCCTGCCCCCTCCCTTCCACTCTCTCTTGAAAAAAACAGTCAATGGGAGAAATGTCCTGGGGTGAGGATTAACAACGACATTCTTCCCTTGTTACTGCCAGTCTGGCCCCCGAGACATAACAGGTGCTCAACAAAAATCCGCGGAATAAACAGTCTCCGTCCCCCTTGGTGTCCACACTTTGCAGTTCTAGACTGTCCCTACTCCTGATCCGCTCGCCACCTCCCCCGCCGTCCTCCGGGCTCCCCTGCTTCTACCCGGGCACCTCCACAATGAGGGATCCCGCCTTGACCCCCACCTCTCAGCCGGTGCACACGACACGGCCCTTGAGTCCCCACTCGACCACGAGGGGACAAGTGGCCTTGTCTTCCCTCCGCCGGCCCGACAGGCTGGACGTGTCGGCCGGACCCGGGACACAGGCCTCCCTCAGACCGGGTGTCAGGCCCAGTCTTGCCCCGACACCCCAGAGCCGGTGGAGGAAGTGCAGCGCCTCCTGCCGCTGAGCCTCGGGCTCCTGGGGGATGTCCCGACTTCCCTGCTGTTCCCTTGGCCTCCTCACCGTCCCCAGCCTCTGGCCTCAGTTTCCCCTGCTCGGCCCCCACTGCTCAGAGGCAGACCCGAGCCTGTCCCTCCCTGCTCTCGTAGGCTCCCCTAAGGCCCGGAGAAAAGTCAACCTCCTCACCCTGCCCTTCCCAGGGCTGCCAGCTCCTGCCCGTCCCCGCCTCCTCTGCTCCATCTGACTCCACCGCCCCCACCCTCCCGCCACCGTCCCCCCACGGGCTGCAGGCTCCTGTAACATCCTTTCCCACCTCTGCCTGGGAAAACCCCACGCACCCTCCGCGGTTCACATTCTGCTTCTCCTGGGAAGCCTCCCAGGGACCCTCCGGAACGGCCTGCCCTGCCCCGTCTCACCCCCGCAATGCCCTGCTGAGCCAGGGTCTAGAGCGTCCAGGTTTGGCTCTGCTGGGCCCGGGGAGTAGGAGAGCCGTCGGCACCCCAGCAGATGGCCAGAACCCTCCACCACCCCAGAGCCGCGGCCAACCTTGTCCAGCCTACTTGCAGCACATGGGGTGACCATGCTGAGAAACCACTCTGAAATCCCGGGGAGCCGAGAAACTCTCATTTCCCTTGTTCTAGGAAGGGCGGCAGCACCCAGAGACTGGCGGCCAGGTGCCACCTGTGCCCTGCAGGCCTGATGGGCAGGCTGTAGGAATGGCAGGTGCCACCCTGGGCATGGAGCCTGAGGCCTGCACACTGGGGGGAGAGGGGGGACATTGGAAATAGGACAGCGGTGACCTGGTCCTACGAGCTCAGGCGGCTGGGAGGCAGCCACAGCCCTGGTGCCAGTGGCTGTAGCTAGGTATGCATCCCAAGTCCTGCAGGAGACCGGAGGCCTCGCTCAGGAGCCCCCGTGTGCCCCAGGCCCAGGCCAGAGCCCTGTCCCGCAGTCTGTGGGAGGGAGGGGACAGGAGCCCACGCGGAGAGCGGAGATCTGGCCACCTTCCATCTGCAGCCGGTACAGCATGGAGCAGCTGTCCACCACGTCCAGCATGGCACCACTGGCCTGCAGGCTGGGGAAGATCTGAAAGACAAGGGTGGGCGGGGCCTCAGCAAGCACCACTCGCCACCTCAGTGGTTGGGACCGTGCCCTGGCCACGGCTCAGCCCACCCCAGGTGCAGACCTGAAGAAAGAGTGTGTGCGGGGGAGCGTGTGCGGGGCCCTGGCATCGGTCACCTCCCACCCTGGCCTTGGACCGTGCTCACAGGACACGTGTCTCCCCGTCCCCGGGTCTCCCCATCCACAGTTCCACAAGGCTGTGCTCTACCTCGTGGCAAGTGGCTCTCGTCGCCGTTCAGTTCTTACCACGAAACCCTGACCACTCCAAAGGCTGACTTCAGGACCATGCCGCTGAGTGTTTTCCTCAGGTTCAGACCCCCAATCACAAGCACCTTTCTGACCCCAGGCGCCTATCATTAACCCTGTGCTCGGTACCGGGGAGCTGTGAGGTGGGCTTTATTTTCTCTTAAAAAAGGTCAGGGGAGGGGGAGGGGAGTTAATGTTTAGTGGGCACAGAGCTTAGTTGGGAAGATGAGAAAATTCCAGAGACGACGTTGGGGTCAGAGGCAAGCCAAAGCGAATGGACTCAATGTCCCAGAACTGGACACCTAAAGATGGCTAAAATGGCACGTGTTGTGTTCTGTACATTTCCCCACAAGAAAACATTTCCATGGCAGATCACCGGCGTCCAGAAAACGACCAGAGAGGGCGATTTCAGAGACCACCCACGGAGATGTGTAATTCCACCACTGCCCGCCAGGGGGCGGAGCCAGCGGCCGTCCTCATCCCACTCCGGCGAGTCTCACACCAGACGTGAGTCCGGCTCCAGCTGCTGTTCCCGCCCAGACAACAGCAATGAGCTCAAAGGTCTGGAGACTCAAAGCCAAGTTGCTGCAATAAACCACATCGCGTGCCAAGGTGGACTTACGTGGTCATCGTAAATGGTCAGTGCGGCCTCGTAGTCGCCCTGGAAGAAGTTCCCAAAGTTAGTATCTGGAGGCGGTGAGATGTGATACTGAGACCTTAACTGAGAACCGGTGGGCCAGTGCCCCGCCCTTAAGGGGGATGGGCACCCCAGTGCGGATCTGGGGATGGGAGCCTGCAACCCGCTCTGGGCTGCCCTGGGCCACAGGACACAGAGGCCGGGAGGGCGCAGCTTGCCAAGGCCTCCTTTTTCCTGCAGCCCCTCCCTCCTGCACTTCTCTGGGTCAACGCAAGGTCCCCCCCATCTTCCAGACATTTCTCCTTGCACACTTGGGGGGCTTCTAGAGTTTCTCTATGATAAACAGCACTGCAAAGCACCCTTAGAGTGGGACCCAGGGGCAGAACCCCTCGGGACCAGGGTGTTCCCCACCCCGGCTCCCCCGTGACAAAGCACTCGGAGGGTCTGGTGGCCGCCGCAGGTACAGTCCTGGCTGGGGCTCAGCGGTTCACCCCAGCAGCAGACACCCGGCCTGAAATGTCCCCACAGACCGTGTGCAACCCCCGTGATTTCCAAATCCAGGCAGTGACAAGGGCCCGGAGTGGTTGGAGCCAGAAAAGTGTCTGAAAACATGAATGCTGTCAGGACACCACTTAAAGGAGCAAACGCGAAGTAGTCCTCCCGGGACATGGAGGACAGCGAGGGGCAGGAAACAGCTCTTCCCCTGCACGTGTTCACAGGACGAGCCCGCCGCGTACCTTTTCAATCAGATACAACGCCCAGTGCCAATAATTATGACAAGCCAGCATGTCGGAGCCCTGGGGAAAGAAGGCGAGAATCAGGGAACAGGGACGGTCTCTGGGGAAAGGAACGGTGTGTGTTTTGCAGAGTCCACGCCTCCGAGTGTGTGGGAAACACTTCCCGGGCTCCCACTGCGGGGGCGTTTCCGCGGCATGTCCTTCCGCGCGGAGGGTCGGCGCGTATAGGCCTGAACTGGCTGGGGAAACTGAGGCTGGGGGAGGCCGGGACTTGTCAGCCCCAGAGCGAGAGAGCAGGAGAACCAGGCCAGACAGAGTCACCCCCTCAGCACCTCAGCCTCGTCTTCCTTGTGCGCAGTGGAGAAAATGAGGAGACATCCACCCTGCAGCTGCGGAGGCCCACTGTGTATCCAGTCAGTGCAGGGCACCCCGATAAAGCCCTCAGAACCAGGGAGCCCAAGGCTGAACTCCCACGGGTACTGGCAAAGCCCACAGAATAAGGGGAGCAGGTCGCCCTGGCTGGTTTGGCTCAGCGGTTAGAGCATCGGCCTGCGGTCCGGAGAGACCCGGGTTCGGTTCCCGCTAAGGGCACGTACCTCGGTTGCAGTTTGTCCCCGGCCCTGGTTGGTCGTGCGGGTGGCAGCCACTCGATGTGTCCCTTCACGTCGATGTTTCTCTCTCTCACTCTTCCTCTCTCTCCCTCCCGCTCTATCTGAACAAAAAATGGAAAAATGTCCTCGGGTGAGGATAAAAAAAAAAAAAATAAAAATAAGGGGAGCAGGTGGGCCCCTGGACAGTTACTGCTGGCTTGCTGAGGCCCCACCGCGAACGCCTGCCCTTCCTCCTACAAGGGGCAGATGCCCCTCCTCCGCCCGGACACCACCTCCGGCTCCTGGAAAGGAGCTGACAGCGCCTCCTCCAGGCCCACGGCCACTTTGCACCTGTGTTGGAGGACGCCAAACTGCCGGCTCCCCTCTCCCTCACTGGCCACCGTAGGCTGGTGTCCGCTCGAGCTGGTCCTTGGCTGGGATACCACCCATCTCCCCATCCTTCACCTGGCAAACTCCTACACATCCTTCATTACTCAGCTCAAAGGCTGCCTTCTCCAGGAAGCCCTCCCTGACCACTTCCCCCTGAAGCCCAGCTGGGTTGGATGCCTCCTCTGGGTCCCAGTCTCCCCCAAAGTGCCCCTGGCATGGTGTGGTCCACACGCTGCTGGGAAGATGCTCACTCCGCTTGACCAGGCCTTTTGAGGACAGAGAAGTCTGGGCTGGATTTTCAGTGGGGACGCCAGGGCAGGGCTCAGCCTGGGGCAGTGACTGGAGGAGGAGGACAGGAGTCCCAGGCTGCACTGTCCACTCCAGAGCTGTCCTGCCAGGCCAGAGGCTGCCAGGAGACATGGCAGGGGTCAGACATCAGGTGACGAGAGCCCGCTGGGAGATGATCCCAGCCAGCCTGGGCCGCCTCATTTTGCCTGTTTGGAACCAACACCAAAGGAAGTTGTTCGGGGCCATGGGTTTCAGAGTTGTCACAACAGCAGGTGTGCAGATGAGGACATGAGGCTCAGAGGTCGTGTTCTTGCCCAGGACAGAGTCAGGCCTCCGACACCCAGTAAAATCAGGGTCTAGGGGAGGGATGGGAACGGCATGAGCTGGAAGGCCCTGGCCAGGCCTTCCCATCGACGCTGTCAGGACAAGCCCCTGGCCTCGGTGACGGGGGCGCACACGCTGCTCAGGACAAGCTGTGTCTGCTTGGGGAGCCCAAGGCAGGGCCCCCCAGGCCCCCAAGGCTCTCCCATCCCCAGGCTTGAGGACCCTTAGGAAGACCTGAGTGTGCGCCGCCTGGGGCCACAGTTCTCTCCGTCTCCCACCTGTCCCGACACCACTGCCAGAGAAGACAGAGCCTGCTTCCTGGGAGTTACCGACACTCATTGCCTGAGGACAGGTGACGTCCCGATAGACCGTCATCGGCTGAAAACACTCGGCCCAACACGCACGTGCTCAGCGCACCTCAGCTGCAGGCTCGGGGTCAGCGCAGCGCACCTTCGGCGTGCCCGCTCACCTTGGCCACGGTCCACTGTCCCCTCACGGAGCCTGTCCTACAACCAAGTGCCGAATGCCTCCTGAGCTCCAGCAGCGCATCTCGCTCCCATCACAGTCAAAGATCCTACGTCTAGTCATTGCACGTCAGGGGCCGCCTGTGCTTCTCACTGCACGTCCTGGGCCCCCCGGGAGCTGCTGGGACCCAGGAGACGGCACCTGCTTCTTGGTCTCTCTGTGGTCTGCTCAGTCACCGAGCACCTGCCGCCTGGTCCGGCCCTGGCAGATTCGCTGTCCTGGCCGGCGGTGCCCTGGGAAACCCAGATGGCAAAGAGAAGGGCGGGGCCGCAGACCACACCTGGACAGGTGGCCAGGCTGTGTGCCGGACACAAGCCCAGGGACAACCGGTGCACAGAGGAGGGAGGGCCACCACCGCGGGGGCCGCACGGAGCGGGAGCAGTGAGGCCCCAGCGCCCTGCCCCACAAGAGCCTCCGTCCCCGACAGCAGCCCCGCAGACGCGCCCCTCGCCTCACCCCGTGGGCCCCGCCGCACCCAGCGCTCCCTGAGCCCGCTCCTGGCTTCCATGCTGAGCCCACTGGCTGGTGGCGCCACAAGGGTGGCTCGTGGCCCTCCCGGCTCTCACCAGAGCCAGGCTCTTATTTCCTGGGGACTTTCCTGTCCCCTCCTTTCACACCAAATGCCTCAAGCCAGGACCAATTCTAGAATCACCTGCAGAACACTGGCAGGTGTTGGGGGGCATGTGACCCCCAGGGGACACTGTGGCTTGACGGAAACGTCTCCCAAAACACGAGCACCCCACAACAAAGCTGCACCTGTGGCCTCGTCCACAACACCCGGAGGGGACAGACGGAACCTCCCAGGCAGGCGACCCGTACCTTCCAGTGGGTTTCGGAGCGCCGCATGAAGTCTAACCCATCCTTGATCTCCGCCTTCATCTCGTGAACGTGGGCGATGGTGTGCACCGACCACGCGTCCGCCGGGTTCACAGACAGAGCCTGGTGGGGGAGGGGCGGGGAAGCCCCACAGTGTGGGTTAGTCAGACTGCAGGCGGCCAGGCGTCTCCCAGGTACGTGCCAAGGGCCTGAACTGGACGGCCGGGCCTCGGGCAGGGCAAGCATGGGGCCTGGGCTCGGCGGCTAAACAATAATGGTCCTGAAGCCCAGCCCCGTTGACCACCTGCAGGATGCCGCCAAAGTGGGCATCTGCCCATGTCACAGACAGGACTGCGGGACTTTCCCAGGACTGCACAGCTGGGTCTTCCCAAAGCCAGGGCTGTCCCCTGGTCCACGCCTCCTGGGCACAGCTGTGTCACCCGCAACGTGCCAACCAGCCTCTGTGGGCCGTTTCGCCCCTGGGACCCTAGGTGCCAACGCTGTGCGGACTGCCAGGTGCCCCAGAGGCTCTCGGCCGCCCCTCCCACCCACACACAGGCGATGACCACACATGTCACTTTCTGGGCTGTTCTGATGTCATTGCCAGTAATGCCAATAGCTGCTCACGTGACCGGTGAGCCTGACAGTGGCCCCCAAGGCAGGCAGGACACGAGGTTACGATTCGAACCACGTGGAGGCATCGCTCTTTTTCTCATGGTGACTGGGCGCCGACTGAGCGCAGATGTGAGCAGGAAGCTGAAATCTCAGTGGTCCCGTGGACAAGCCACACTAGCCCAGGCGCCCCCGCCAGGTCTCCCCAGCCTCGCCGCCTCACCCCAGGCCTTTCACAGAGGCAGAGTGGGACAGGCCTGGCACTCCGCCCCTGGCCGGCACCTGCTGCTGACCGATGCTGACAGGCCGTGCCCAGCAAGCCCTGTGCCCTGCCTGCCTGTGCCCTGCCCCGTCCATGTGGGGACACTAAGAAAGAGCACGTCTGAGGGTTGATGGCAGCAGGACACTTTGGGAGACTGCAGGGGCACGGCTGAGCAGGCTGGGGTGCCCGGGCCCCATGAAGGGGCCAGTGAGCATGCTGCTCTCACACAGAACAGATTCTGGTAGCAGCTCTCAACCCCCTGGTGAGCTTAAGGCCCCACCCACTCCACAAGGTCTCCTGGGACAAAGTCCCAAGGTCCTGGGGCAGAGCTGGCCCTGCCTGCCTCCCAGCCTTTGCTCCCAGGGCCTGCCCCGCCCTCCGCCCTCCGCCCTCCGCCCTCCGCCCTCCGCCCTCCGCCCTCCGCCCTCCGCCCTCCGCCCTCCGCCCTCCGCCCTCCGCCCTCCGCCGTGGCTCCCTGCCAGCCACCCTTCGCTCTTCCCCCACGGGCTTGGCTTGCAGACACCTGGCCCCGTCACCTCCGCACTGAGGCGCCTCCAGACTTCAGCGCAGCCTGGTGCAGCCTGGCCTTGCCCAGAACCGGCTGTGTGTGCTGGTGTTGGGGGCAGAGTGTGGGCGCCCGCAGGAGGGGTACAGCAGGAAAAGGGGGTGTGAAGGGAAGAGAGGGGCAGCCCATCCCACCACTCCCTGCACCTCTGGCCACCCTCTGGCTTCTCAGACCGTCCTGCCAGCCCTCCGGTGCTCATATGGACGCCACGCAACAGGGAGGCCCAACTGCCATGGTCTCCAGGGGACCTTCCTGCAGCCGAACCCCCAGACCGTGAGGCCCAGGTCCCCCCGAGCCCTGACTCAGGGCGAAAGCACAGAATCCATCACACGGCACTCAGGTCTGGGCTCCACTTCTGTAACCAGAGCAGTCTTCAAAGACCCCATGGGCACATGAACCCCAGAAGCATGCTGCTGTCTCCAGGAGCACTGCTGGGGGCCAACTCTGGGGAGAGCCTTGGCTGGGGTGCTGGGAAGCCGGGTCTGATTCAGGTGGTTTGGTCAAGTGGTCTGGTCAGATGGTCTGGGTAGGCGGTCTGGTCAGGCAGTCTGGGTCAGGTGTTCTGGTCAGGCAGTCTGGGTCAGGTGTTCTGGTCAGGTGGTCTGGGTCAGGTGTTCTGGTCAGGCAGTCTGGGTCAGGTGGTCTGGTCAGATGGTCAGACCCGGTGGTCTGAGTCAGGTGGGCTGGGTCAGGTGTTCTGAGTCAGGTGGGCTGGTCAGGTGTTCTGAGTCAGGTGGGCTGGGTCAGGTGGGCTGGGTGAACACTGGTCTGCCTTCTCTGAGCTGTGCGGCCTTGGGAAGGCTCTAGCCTTGGCTGCTCTGGGCCGTGTCCCCTGGTCTGGGACGAGGAGATTACCGCCCTGCAGCAGAGGGATGAGCGACTAGAGGGTGCGTGTGAAAAGCCAGCCCTAGGCCAGGCACAGGAGCCCCGAGTGCCGGCCCATCCCTGGGCCTCAGTGCAGCTCCTGGAAGGAGAGGAGCCAGAGGAGAGGGACTCTGAGAGCTGGAGACACTGTGGTGGCCGGCTGGCCACAGAGGACACCTCGTGCCTTGGGCCTGACTGCCCAGCTACTGCTTCGCCCCAGGCCGGGCACGTGAGGGGCGTCTCCCATGCTCCTTGGTACCAGCCAGCCCACCTCGGGGGCACGGAGAGAGGGTGTGGGCCCGCGGGAAGGGCTCACAAAGCCATGCTGCTCGTCCTCTGAGGGGCGGCGGACCGCAGGACCCCACCCCTGCACCCCTGCACCTCCCCACCAGCAGCAGCCTGTTTGTGATCATGGCTCAGCTCCCTGAAGCCCGGTGACTCTAGTGACACAGAAACATGAGGCTCGAGGTGGGAGACCACCATTCACACACGCTCCCACCTGCAAGTTCTGGTCCAGCCGCTGCTCCGTGGGCTCTGCCCAGGGCCACCCTGCCGGCAACCAGAGTGGGAGAGGGGACTGGGACCTCCCGGGGCGTTGTTCGCCTCCTCGCGTGGAGGTCACCTGCGCGGCATGGCACTGAGGACATGGGACGTGCAGGGGACAGGACAGCCACTGTCTCCGTGAGCCCTTCCGCTCCGAACCTCTAAGGAAAAGCGCCCGGAGCGAGGAACGGCCGGGGTCGCCCCCGAGCGGTGGTCTTGGGTCCCTGCGCCCCCTGCCGCCAGCCCTGCACCTGCACCTCGGGAAGGGCCCACCCACCTCTTTGGCGAGCTTCTCCGCTTGATCGTAGAAGTTGGTTTCCATCAGTCCAAAAGAATAGATGCCTTTCACGTAGCTAAAGACCAAACAGAAATCTTTTTAAAAAGTGATCCGGGTCCGTTCAGCCCTCGACACGACCTGGGTGGGCCGAAGGTGGCCCCCAGACGGCACGTGGGAACACAGGTGCTAATCTGGAATCAGGGTGTCTGCAGATTAACTGAGTTAAGATAGGTCATACTAGAGTAGGGTGGGCCCTAATCCAATGGCTGGCGTCCTTGTCATAAGAGAAAGGAGAGGGTTTGACGCAGAGACGCAGACAACGGACAGAGGCTGGAGGATGCAGCCGGGAGCTGAGGACACCATGGCCCAGCTGGGAGGGGCAGGGAGGACCCTCCGTCAGAGCCCTCGGAAGAGCGCGGTCCCCCCGACACCTTGACTTCAGACTTCTGGCATCCAGAACCAAGAGAGAAAGTTCCTGTTGTTTTAAGCCAACCAGCCCGTGGCGCGTTTCATGGTGGCGCCAGGAGACAGATACACACGCCAGCCAGGGGCTGGCCCCGCACCAGCACCGCACCAAGCACTGTGTTCCCAAACCCAAACCCTGTCTCCACGGCACACCCTCTGCAATTCACACCCCACCTCCTAAGACGGCGACGTCGCCACAGGGGCTGGCAAGGGACTTTTCCCTCCTGTCTGCTTGGTTATCCCACCAACGGGCACAGCCCAGGGACACCTCCCCGGGAGCCGCGGGGACCGTGGGCTGCCAAGGGCGTCTCTGCTCAGCAGCACTGTGCCCTGCCTCTTCCGGGAGCCCAGCTCCTGGAGGCTGGGGCTTGTCTGACCCAACTCAGTCTCAGCCCAGGCCCAGCCAAGAATGGCCTTGACGACAGGTCGCTGACTAAACGCAAACTTTCCTCCTGGTCCGTGACCACCGGCGCCTGAGCAGCCCAGGTGTTCTCCCCTGTGCTTTTGTGGGACTCAGCGGTTCTCAGCCATGGGGGTCGAACGACCCTTTCACAGGGGTTGCCTAAGACATAACAGTAGCAAAATTACAGTTCCGAAGTAGCAACGAAAATAATGTTAGGGTTGGGGGTCGCCACAACATGAGGAACTGGATGGAAGGGTCGCGGCATCGCGAAGGCTGAGAACCACTTACGTGAAAGCAACATGGAGAACGGAGTTTCTGTCTGAGACTCCGGTGGTATCTTGTTCAGCATGAACAGAGATCAATCCAGCTTTTATCACTCACAGAAGCAACGTTCCAGAGTCTGGCTTCCCGACTTTGCTTTCCACCACTTAGTGAGTCCTCACTGGGGCCGTTTCGCCGCCAGCTTTTCAACACGTATCGAATGTTTCGGGTCTACACCTACTGCTCGGCTCCTGTGACGCTTCATCGGAGCGTCTCCTTGGTACCACAGCTCAATGCTGCCGGGGAGGCAGTCTGTCGGCGTGATTAACATCTAAATTGGTGGATTTTGAGTACAGCAGGTTACTCTCCAGTCAATGAAGGCTTAAGAGAAAAGACGGAAAGACTGACCTTCCAGAGGAAGGGATTCTGTCTGCAGAGACTGTGCCATAGAAACGCTACCTGACTTTCCAGACTGTGCCTGTCCTGTGGATTTTGGACTTGGCCAGTCCCCACGATAGCCTGAGCCAACTGCTTAAAATAAATCTCTCTATACATATATAGACCTAGATGTTAATATTTACCTGTATATGTGAACAACGTAAATGGAGACGCACACACGCATTGGTTCTGTTTCTCTGGAGAACCCTCACGTACACAGCTCTTCCATCTATTCATCTGACCGTCACAAAACCCTACGCTTAAGACGCCATGGAGGTGAGCCTGTGCGGTGGTCCCCTGGGGCCGTTCATGGATCTCCAGGCCCCTCTCCTCCACACACACAGTGGAGCTGCCCTTCCTGGCCCCTGCAGGTGGGTGGCCAGCTCGGGCCAATGACCTGGGAGTGACAGGGCATCCCTTTCACTCTGAGCGCTTCAGTACCACTGTGAACCCCTCAGGAGAGCTCCCTTTTCCCTCTTAGCGACCGGTGTGTCCACAGAGCAGTTGCTGCACCAGCCAGGATCGTGGAGGGGACAACGGCAGAGGCACAGAGCCTCCGCCGTGCTGTGCTGGGCACGTGGTATCTATGAGCAACCAACCTCTGCTGTGATAAGCCTCGGAGCATCAGGTCTACGTATGTCTGTTCCTGCAGCAAAAACCAGCCGGTGTGGCTCAGCGGTTAGAGCGTCGGACCTCAGACTCAAGGGCTGTGGGTTCGCCATCCAGCTCTGGTCGAGTCGCATGGGAGGCAACCGATCGATGTGTCTCTCTCACATCGAGGTTTCTTTCTCTCCCTCCCTCCCTCCCTCCTACTCTATCTGCAAGTCCATGGAAAAATGTCCTCGGGTGAGGATTAACAATAACAAAGGAAACCACCCTGTGCTGACTGGCACCCAGTGTGTGACCTCGTTCCCGGGATGGCGACATGCTTGAGTGAAGGAAACCAGGGCTTTTCTCGCTCAAGAACCAGGCGAGAGCGGCTGCAGCCACGTCGGGAGCACCAGGAGCAACGGTTTCCGGGCAGAGAGACCAAGCAGTGGACACGGCGTGCTTTCCAGCTGACACGTACCTGCTAAGGGGGATGTCAGGGGTCCAGAAGGGGTAAACTCGAGCCACAGAATCTCGCATCTGCTCCTGGTAGCCCAGGTAGAAGTAGGCGTCGTGGGAAAACTTCAGGGCCAGCATGTCCGTCGGGTGGTCCCGGAGAATCTGTTCCCATAGTTCACAGGCTTTGGGAAAGTTTCTGGAAGCCAAGAGAGGCCTTTCAGCAACACTGAACACACATTCGCACACAGACATTGTTCCCTGCCCGCGTCACAGTCCGCCCTGACTGGTTTAATTTACACACACACACACACACACACACAGCAGGTCTTCAAATGACATCGTTCTGTTCAATATCCTTTTTTTTTTTTAACGTTGATGAGATGCCGTTGGAACTTAACTCTTGTTTACATCAAGAAGCTGGTGGTAAAATTGGTCTCGTGATGTGTTATTTTGCTGAAAGTCGTGGAACGTATCACCAACACTTAAGTGAGGACTTAACTGTACATCTATCAACGTGTTTTACATCAGGTGGTGGCTCATAAACTTGATAAGCCAGTGGGAAATTTTACTCTGGAATTCAAACAAACCAAAAAACAGCTGGTTTCACCAGCTGTCGAAAACAATTCCAGCGCAGACCACGAACCAGCTGCAGGAGATCTCGAGGTGACACCCCGGCCCTGCCCTGATACCAGCCCCGACCCACAGGAAGGCTGGGCAGGACCCTCGACAGCCAGCTGGGGCCAGCTCGCTCTGCGGGCATCTCCCGGCCTGGGCAGACACCGGCCATCTGGGCTGCAGCTCCAGCCCCAGGGTGCCCACACACAGGGACAGCGGGGGGACAGCAGAGGCCAGGACGATCGGAAAGGCTGTGTTAGGACAAGGGGCAGAAAAGTGAGGGTTTTCTCTTCTATCTTCTATTAATTTCTGTGACGTGGTCCTATTATTTTTGTAAGAAAACAATAACTGACGTGTTGAATGGAACAAAGTACGTTGCTTTGAATGCCGTGCTGAGAGCCCGCGCCAGCGACTCCCTCATGTAGCAGTCATTTGAGGACAAGGCAGCAGATGGGGTGTCGTTTTCAGCCAGATGGGCTCGGAGGCCGGGGACAGCCACCCCAAGGGCCCCTTCCCACGGCGCCGGCAGCCTGTCGTGGCCCAGCCCGGCCCCGGAGCCCCGCCCCGGCCCAGGGACGCTCACCCCTTGGCGAAGGCCTCCACCGCGGACACGTGGAGCCGCTCCCGCTGCGTCAGTGGCTGGCCTTGGGACATCTCCACCATGTTCCGCACGGCCAGGTCCAGCTCCTTGTCCAGCCTCACAGAGCTCCCAGTGCCAATGAGCACGAGGCCGTTGGAGATGGCGTGGCCCATCGCTGGAGGAAGGCTGGGCGTCAGCTGGGGTCAGGGAACCCCACCTCCATGGCCCAGGAGGGGCAAGCGGGCGGCGGGAGGCTGTGCGCTGTGCCCCCACCCAAGTGCAGAACTCAGCCTGGGCCCTCGCCGCACCACGGAGGTGTGGTGACCCGAAGGCACCTGGCACCTCCTCAGCGAGGGCATCCTGGTGAGTGCCACCATCTGGGGCAGCTAATCACTGCAGAACCGGTGCCCTCATCAGCTAATTTGTCACGACCACCTGCCCCTCGCCTCCAGGGGACGCTCGGTAGATGCTGTCCAGGGGCTGGTCCCAGGGCACAGAAGCCGTGACCCTGTCTTGGCCACTCTCATGCATGAGAGTTTGGGGGTGGTGGTGCCTTGTGGCCTTTGCGACAGCCTTCCCGGCCGGAGTGCAGGCCCCCAGGTCCTACCTAGGCTCCCAGGCCCCGCCTTGATAGAGGCAGGGTGTCCACTGGCGTCTAGAACTCAGCCCGGGACCCGGGACCCAACCACAGTGTGGGGACCCCCTATGTGGCTACTGGTTCCGATTGGGGCCCAGGTCTGCTCAGAGAGCCTGAACCCACCCCTGGCTCCTTGCTTCTCCCACAGGCTGGGGTCAGCTTCCTTTTCCCGCCGATCTGTGCCCCATGCCCTCAGCGGGACTGGCCACAGGGAAGAGGGCAGGGGCGTCCTCGCTCTTCTCCCAGGCCCGGCACCTCGCCCCACACTGGGGCCTCTTTCTTGGGGTTCTCTCCATGCCTGCTGTGCCCACGGCTTGCCTGTAATGCCAGGCCCTGTGCTGGGCCAGCTCACCCACTCGGGGTGCCGCCCTCATGCCCCGAAGGCTGCCGGAGCCACTCTTATGTTCCAGGGGCAAGTCCAGCTCCCCAACCGTCAGCTGGGTGGCTTTGGGTACCTCTCTTTCTCCAGACCTCATTGTTCTCATCTGAGAAGTGGGATCAGGGTCTTCTTTGCAGAACTGACATCCAATTAGGAAAAACTTGTGAAGGATGCCCTCGCCAGGACCCGGGCTCTCTACAGGAGCCGCTGCTGCCCCACACATAACACGGGCTGGAGTGCCCCTCGTCACCCCACACAAGGGCCCGCCGCCACCCATGACGCAGCGGTCCGCCGCCCAGGGAGCACCACTCACCGAAGGTCGGATCTGCCGCCTTCAGCTTTGACAGGCAGCCCTCGATGCCACCCAGAGTCTTGTCGTTGGTCCATTTCACATACTGAAATACAGAAGGTCAGACCAAGCTGTCGCCAGGAGCCCCGCACCCGTGTCAATAAAGGCACGTGTCTAAAACGTTCTCGTTCTTTCCCTTCTAGAACATGAGGTCGTTTCTGGACTAAACACCGTAACTGGGTTGATCTCAGATGAAGAGAATGAATACACGGAACTCGGCACATTTCCTAGGAGTGGTGATCCCGCGTTTGCTAAAAAAAAAACCGCCTCAAAGAAGGTTCTGCCTGACGGTGCCCTGCCTGCAGTGTCAGCACGAGGGGCCCTGAATGGGGCACCGCAGCAGGAACCTTCTCTGCCTCGCTCCTTTTAAGAACCGGAACAAACGCTCATTATGGAAAGTCAGGCGGGGACGTGGAAGCTGAAAGATGAACACTTTACCTTGAAACTCATCTCATCACCAATTTCACAATTTCCTGCATTTGTTTCTAGTTCTTCTTCTTTTTTTTTAATGCCCATTTCTTAAAAACCTTAAAACCAGCCTTGGCTGGTGTTTCTCAGTGGTTAGAGCATCTGCCCAAACACTGAAGGGTCTTGAGTTCGATTCCTGCTCAAGGACACCAATTGATGTGTCTCTCTCACACTGATGTTTCTCTCCCTCTCCTCCTTCATCCCTCCCTCCCCCTCTCTCTAAAACTCAGTGGAAAAAATATCCTTCGGTGAGGATTAACAACAAAAATGTCCATTTTTAAAAATCCTAAAACCACAGTAAGGCCTCAGATTTTAGAATGTGCCCTGCCAGCCAACACCGACACAGAACTGGCACGTGTATTTTCACAAGACCCAGGGACGCAGAGTACCCAGGCCCTAGCACAGGCTGGCACAGAGACACCGTACAGGGGACAGAGAGGCAGGGCAGGGGCAGGCCCCGGGTGGAGGGGTGTGCTGAGTGACAGATCCAGGTTCCGCAGTGGCCAAAGGTGTGGGAAGGGTACAAACAGAGCTCAAATGCACACAGAGGAGGTCCTCAGCGGGCTAATTATAATTCACCAGTCTTGCATGGCCCTTATGTTCCTAGAAGCTTCCTCATGCTGTATAGATGGAGTTGGTAGGCAGCTAGCTCACTGTTCTTGATAAAGATGGGTTCTAGTCTTCCATCCTGCTCCTTCCTAGCTCAGTGCATGAGTCAGCTCTCTGGGCCTCAGTTTCCCCACCTGCCACACAAAGTTAGACTTGACCTCTGAGACCCTCCCAGTTCTAAAACGACAGGCTCCTTCATCAGTGTTAGAAATGACCGGTAAGACAGTCGAAGGTCTTGGGACATTCACAGGTGAGGGCAGTAGGTTCACAGAGTAGCCCAGGACAGGGTCCCATGCCCTAAGAAGCCGCACATCAAACACTCAGTAGACCATACCCTACCCTGCGGTGTGTGGCCCACTGTGCAAGGCTCAGCGCCTCCACAGACCATCCCCAACAAGGAGTGTGCTGCTGTCCTCCGGCCACTAGGGGGACCTCTCAGCCGTGCTGGGCCGGGCAGAAAAGTTTCCACCGCGTCCTGGGGTACAGAGCAGTGCACAGATCCCATGGCAGTCCATTGCTAAAGTCACCCTGCAATGTACAAAGCAACCACCACTTCCCAAGCTGTGGGCTTTGTGCCGCCTGAGCCACTGGTCCTGTGCCCGGCGCTTCAAAGTATTTATTATGAAGAACGCCTGGGTCACCACGAAGCCTTGCTCTCCCCGTTTCCCAGGAGACTGCGCAGGAGAGTCGAGGGCTCATTGTTTATAAAATTGGGAGCGCTGATAAAGGTGCGACGCTCTGAAAGCGTGCTTCCCGGGCCTGCTCGGCCCTCGTGCCCCAGCTTTACCTGGAGGGCAGGGGAGCAAGCAGTCAGGCAGGTGTACAGAGCATCCCTGCCCGGGGGGGAGCGCCGCTCACGTCGCAGCATGAATGACTGTAGCTGTGAGGCCCCAACATTTAACAATGAAAAATTAATTAAAATAATTAAAAGCAGTCACCAATTTCAGAACCCTCACCATGGACCTTTACAGAAGGGGCTGCTTCCCTCGGAGGGCATTACCTGGGTCAGGGTGGCATCAAACAGCCTGCAGGCCTCATTGCTTGGGGTTGAGAGCGGGAGACCAGCATCTTTCCACGCCTGCACAGGGCAAGAGGGAACATCAGGGCCTTATTCCACACAGCCCTGCAAACGTTAACACACACACCGACCCGACCCCCAAGCACGGGAGATCTCTGATGCCTACAGCCTGCAGGTATGGGGCAGATGGAGTCCCAGGCAGATCCCAGCGGCCTCCAAAGAGCTATGTGACTCCGGCAGGGTCCTCCCTCGGACCCTTGGCTGGCCCCTCAGTGAAGGGCCTGCGGGATGCACGGGGTGGCTGTGAAGGTCCCGGGGAGCAGACACTCCCTTACTTCCCTGCGCAGGCGGAGGGCAGGTCTGCAGGGCAGAACAGAGGGCTGGCGCCAGAGTGCACAGCCGGGGTGGGGGCTCCCCACCTGGCCAGCAAGTGACAGTTCCTCTCATCTCTCCACTGTATCCGACTATTCCGACCTTCAGGTCTGTCACTGGAAACGTCGAGATGGTCAGAACTGTTCAGTGTAACTGCCACCCTCGGTGTCCTGCCAGGGACGCGCAGACGAGCGACCCCTCTGGGCAGGGAAATGTCCTGTACTCCCTGCCAGCACGCGGGCCGCCTCTCGAGTTAGGGATTGCGCCCCCGCTCCCTCTGAACGCCACCTTCCTCGTCTGCAGAATGGGCCAGGCTCCCTGCCCTGGCAGGTCCCGGAGGGGGTCTTCACTAATGCCCACCCGGCGCCCGGGTCAAGGCTTCGTGGGAAGTCCCGGGTCGGCCCTGGTTTCTCTTAATGGGCGCCCGCAGGGTGGGCCTCGGGGATCCTGCCCTGCGTACCTGGCAGTCCCGCAGCGGCGCGGGCGCGGCCATGGTGCGCGCTCGCCCGGGAAGTCGGTCCCGGCTCCGGGCGCCGCGGGGGCCTTCCGGGAGCGGGGCGGGGTGTGGCGCGCTCCCGCTTGCTCATTGGTTGGCTTCGGACAGACGCGCCGCCCGCGCCTCGCTCCCAGAGGCTCGGGGACCTGGACCACGCCTCGCGGCGACAGGTGCGCCCAGGAAGGGCGCTAGGGGAGGTCCGAGGTCCCCGAGCCTGCAGGGCCGCGGGCCGGCGTGTCGACGAGCGCACACTCACTGTGAGCCTCGGTGTGCGCGCTCGCCTCCCCAAGCGGAGAGATCCGCCAGCCGGGTCTTGCCCCCCAAACTCACCACCACCACCACCAGAGGGCTTCTCCCAGCTGGGACCCTCTTTCAGGGCGACTGCAGAGTCCCTTGGGAGGCAGAGGAGCCCTGGGCCCGCGGTCACTCAAGCCCTTTGTAGTTCGCCAGGAAGCCAAGCGCGCGCACGCATCCACAGAGGTCATTTTTGGCCAGCATCCCATGCGACTCCGTTATCCCACCAGTGTCCCGGGTCCCATCCCGTCTCCCTCTCAAGGACTTGCGGGGGAAAGACCACATCAGCCCAGCCTCCACCTGAGCTCTGCCGTCAGCCACAAACCCCTGGCCCCCACTGCCGCCTCCCATTTTAAACGAACACCTGCCCCCAGGCTGCAGGAGTCCAGGAGTAGTTCAAGGGCGGGGTCAGATCCTGTCCTCATTGAAAATGTTGATATTTTGTTCACCATGATTTTTTTGCATTCATTTTAATTTTCAAAAATATTGCATGAAAATATTACTTGTCCCAGGTAAGAGATGAAATTATAACACTCTTAGAAGAAAAGCGAGGGGTAAATCCTTGTGGTGTTGGATTGGACGATGGTTTCTTAGGTCCGCCACCAAAGGACAAGCAACAAAAGAAAACAGAAAAATTGGATTTCATCAAAATTAGAAACTTTTTTGCATCAAGGAACATTATCAAGAAAATGAAAAGACAAACTATGGAATAGGAGAAAATCCCTGCAAATCATATATTGGAGTCTAGTATCCAGCCCTGGCCAGTTTGGCTCAGCGGTAGAGCGTTGGTCGGCCGACCAGTGAGTCACGGGTTTGATTCTGGCCAAGGGCACGTACCTCAGTTGCAGTTTGTCCCCGGCCCTGATTGGGTCATGTGGGAAGCAACCAGTTGATGTGTCCCTCTCGTGTAGATTGTTTCTCTCTCTCTCATCCTCTTCTCTCCCTCTCTCCCCCTCCCACTCTATCTGAAGATAAATAGAAAAATATCCTTGGGTGAGGATTGAAAAAAAAAGCAACAGTCTATTATCCAGAATACATAAAGACCTCTTACAGCTCAACAGCAAACAAACATCCCAGAGTGAAAGTAAGCAAAGAATGTAGAGACATTTCTCCAAAGAAAATATACAAATGGCCAATAAACCCTGAAAAGATGCTCAACTGCCCTGGCCGGTGTGGCTCAGTCAGTTGGAGCGTGGTCCTGTACACTGAAAGGTCGAGGGTTTGATTCCCCATCAGGGCACGTGCCCAGGCGTCAGGTTTAATCCCCGGCAGGTGTGCATACAGCAGGCATGATGTTTCTCTCTCACATGGATGTTTCTCTCTCTCTCTCTCTCCTTCTCCCTTCCTCTCTCTCTCAAATCAATGGAAACATATCCTCGGGTGAAGATCTAAAAAAAAAAAAAAAAAAAAAAGATGCTCAGCATCATTAGTCATCTGGGAAATGCAAATCAAAGCCACAATGAAATGCCGCTTCGCATTCAGTAGGATGGCTAGAACTCCTTTTAGAAAAGGAAATAACGTGTTGGCAAGGACCTGGAGAGACAGACCTTCAGACTTGGCTGGTGGGAGTGTGAGGCGGAGCAGCTGCTGAGGAAAACAGGTGATTCCTCCAAAATTAAACACAGAACAACCCGGCAAGCCTACCCATAGGTACACACCCAAAAGACTGACAACGGGTGTTCAGACAAAACCTTGTACACCCACGTTCATAGCAGCATGATGCACAAATCCCAGAAGGTGGGAGCAACCCGCAGGCCCATCGACGGATGAAGGGATAAACAAAGCGTGGCAGATATCCATGTAATGAAATATTATTCCCCATGGAGAGGAATGAAGTGCTGATACGTGCCCCACCTGGAGGAACCCCCAGAACGTGCTAGGTGAGAGTCCGGGCACTGAAGGCCACACGCTGTATGATTCCATTCGCTCGAAGTGCCCAGAGCAGGCGCTGGGAGGCGGGAGTGGGGAGTGTCTGCCGATGGGTAGGGTTTCCTTTCGGGGTGATGACAACGTTTTGGACTCACCAGAGGTGGTGGGTGCGTGGCACTGTGAATATGCTAAATGCAGAAATTTTTCTCACTGTCTGTAGTTTCTCTTTTCATTTTTTGGAAAATGTCCCTTGATGCAGCAAAGCGTTTCATTCTGATGAAATCCAATTTTTCTGTTTTCTTTTGTTGCTTTGCCCTTTGGTGGTGTATCTAAGAAACCGTTGTCCTGAACTGTACACTTTAAAACGGTTAATTTCAGCCCTGGCCAGTTTGGCTCAACGGTTAGAGCGTTGGCCCGCAGGCCAATGAGTCGAAGGTTCGATTCCGGTCAAGGGCACATGTTTCAGTTTCGGTTCGTCCCTGGCCCTGGTCAGGGTTGAGTGGGAGGCAGCCAGTCGATGTGTCTCTTTCACATCAGTGTCTCTCTCTCTCCTCCTCCCTCCCACACTATCTGAAGATAAATAGAAAAATACCCTCGGGTAAGGATTTAAAAAAATAAATAAAATGGTTAATTTTATGTGAACTTTACCTGAATAAAAAATATGATTTGTCTTGATTGCTGAGGTTTTGGGTGCCCCCATCCCCAAAGTCTGCACCCCAGGTGAGTGCCTCCCTGCCCCCCCCCCCAGTCCGCTGTGAACTGTGCCCACGCTGGAGCGGGACCTGGCAGTGTCTGGCCGGTGAAGGTGAAGAGGACCAGACCCGAGGTTCTAGCATTGCGTCTCAGCCTGACCGGGAGGCCCCAGAAGGCCAAGGACAGCACCGAAGTGGCAAGAAGCCATGCCCTGGGTCACCCTTGCAGGGGCCGTGGGCCAGCCTTGCCTTGCACCCTCTCCAGGGTGAAGGTGGTGGGGGAGTGTCTTCAGAAGCCAAGGAATATGAAGGCGTGTGCCCCCTTCCCTTCCCATCAGCCCTGGAGTGGCAGGACCTTCCTGGAGGCCCCTAGACCAGTACGCCCAGAGGGCCGGGGGCCCAGAACCTGGTGTCCTCTGTTGGTGGCGGCAGCTCTGAGCAAGGAGTGAGGGTGGGGGCCTGGTGGGGAAGCCACACACCCAGCTGGGCCGAGCAAAGGGTGGCTGCGGTCCTCTGGCCAGGCGTGGGCTTGTCAGGGCTGCGGTGGGGACGAGGGGCCGGAGCGAGCCTTTAGCCCGGACGGTCACCGGCACAGTGGGGGCTTGTATGGGGGTCACCTGGGCAGGAGGGTGTCAGGGGGGACCCTGCTTACGTGAGGGGGGGTCCTCTGAGGAGGGGTCAGGGAGCCCAGGCCTGCAGCCCACCACGCCCTCCGAGGAGGGGTCAGGGAGCCCAGGCCTGCAGCCCACCACCCTCCGAGGAGGGGTCAGGGAGCCCAGGCCTGCAGCCCACCACCCTCCGAGGAGGGGTCAGGGAGCCCAGGCCTGCAGCCCACCACCCTCCGAGGAGGGGTCAGGAAGCCCAGGCCTGCAGCCCACCACGCCCTCCGAGGAGGGGTCAGGGAGCCCAGGCCTGCAGCCCACCACCCTCCGAGGAGGGGTCAGGGAGCCCAGGCCTGCAGCCCACCACCCTCCGAGGAGGGGTCAGGAAGCCCAGGCCTGCAGCCACCGCACCTCTGAGGGGGGTCGGGAGCCCAGGCCTGCAGCCCACCACCCTCCGAGGAGGGGTCAGGAAGCCCAGGCCTGCAGCCCACCGCCCTCTGAGGAGGGGTCAGGGAGCCCAGGCCTGCAGCCCACCACCCTCCGAGGAGGGGTCAGGGAGCCCAGGCCTGCAGCCCACCGCCCTCTGAGGAGGGGTCAGGAGCCCAGGCCTGCAGCCAACCCCCTCGGAGGGGGTCAGGGAAGCCCTGGCCTGCAGCCCACGCCCTCCGAGGAGGGGTCAGGAGCCCAAGGCCTGCAGCACCCACCCCCTCCGAGGAGGGTCAGGGAGCCCAGCCTGCAGCCCACCACCTCCGAGGAGGGGTCAGGAGCCCAGGCCTGCAGCCCACCACCCTCCGAGGAGGGGTCAGGGAGCCCAGGCCTGCAGCCCACCGCCCTCCGAGGAGGGGTCAGGGAGCCCAGGCCTGCAGCCCACCACCCTCCAAGGAGGGGTCAGGGAGCCCAGGCCTGCAGCCCACCACCCTCCGAGGAGGGGTCAGGGAGCCCAGGCCTGCAGCCCACCACCCTCCGAGGAGGGGTCAGGGAGCCCAGGCCTGCAACCCACCGCCCTCCCCTCAGGTGCAGGCCCTTTGCTCGCCTGCAGGCCATCTGCGGGCTCAGGGGTGGGCCGGGGAGAGGCAGAGGCCAGAGCTGGGGTGGGCAGCCAATGTACCTTAGAGCTTTGACCACTACATAGACCCAGACAGTTTATTTTTTATTTATTTATTTTTTTAATTCTCACCTGAGGATATTTTTCTATTTACTATCAGGTAGAGTGGGAGGGAGGGAGGGAGAGAGAAACATCGATGTGAGAGAGACACATTGCCTGGTTGCCTCCTGCACAACCTGACCAGGGTTGGGGATGAACCGCAACCGAAGCACGTGCCCTTGACTGGAATCGAACCCGAGACTCACTGGTCCGCGGGCTGGCACTCCAACCACTGAGCCAAACCAGCCAGGGCAAGACCCAGACACTGTAATTACTGAAAAAACCTTTCCTCCCTCCCTCCCTTTCTTCCTCTTCCTTCTCTGTAATGAAGGGTGAACAGAGAGTTTTATCTCAGGGAAGCGAGAGAAGGCGCCTCACACAGCGAGGGAGGGAGCCGGCGGCTGGGGTGGGGGACAGAAG